TATTCTTATCATTTTGTGCATTTTATTTGCTAGCAAATCATTCAAACTGCATAATTAGTAAAATATATGTATTACTCGCTGCCTATGACTACTTAACTTCATCTTAACCTTGATATTTTTGTCATCGCTGATCTTTCCGTGAAAACTGGCTCTGGTTTCTTCCATTATTTATGATCTACAAACATCTGATCCTTCGTGAGGTGCGCGCACTGTTTTGCTACAAATAAATGGCAGAAAATGTTCCTTTCAGAAGGAAAACGTTTGCCTTGGCTAAGCCTTTCCAAAAATAAAGCTAGCAAAAATTTGCTGGCTCTGGTACATTATTACATTATAGAGAGTATATGTTCTGGAATATACTTCCTGCAAAACAAATACCGCAAGCTCACAGTTGTACTATTTTTGCTCTTCACGTAAACGAGAAAAGATCAAGATTGTTACTATGTTTTTCTTCCACTGATTAGACAAGATGGAAGCGAGGCGATCTGTGTATGTGCGGCTCAGTGGCCTGAATCCGTCAATATTCGATCTCTTCTATTTTCTGCGATGAAAAAGCAATGCTTTTTTAAAACTTCTTGGCATGTGGGAGGACTTAGAACACTATCGTCACTCCGTTCTGTCTCAATAAACAATGTTTGATTTTTATATTACTTTATAGACACAGTGAATTCTGCAGCAGACATCTGCATTTTTCTATATGGGAATTCTACATTTCACAAGTATTTTACTGAAATCACTAGCAACCCAGTATTTGCAAACAAGCACAAAAAAGTCATTTGAAACTCTTCCAACTATTCACTACCACTGTCACACCGCCTTTGTGTCAATGTGTGCTCCAAACTCAGTCTCTTTATCGGTGCTGTGCATGCTACACATATTTTAGCCTCGAACTCAGTCTCTATGCCGTTCCCGCTGCTGTTAGCGCCAGTCGGCAGCAGTACTCTCTTTCTCTCTCCTGATTTCTGGAATCGCAACTCCCGATTTGGCTAGCGTTCCTAACAATTAGCTAATTCAGAGTTGATTGGATTAAAGCTCGACTTGCCTAATTTCACCCGCTTCCTTCGATCGTTCCTTCCTTCGCTTTCTTAGCTGCTAGTTATCTGAAAAGTCATGTAGGCATGTGCTGGGATTCTTTATAAGTCAAATTGAACCTTAAGTGTTACTAAACATGTAGCTTAGATCTTGATTTTTGAACTAATTTTTGAGAATAACAAGCCGTGTGAGAGATGAAAGTACGTAAAAAATCGTTTTTTGGATGCTTTTTGCTTAATCATGCTCCATAGCAATTAAACGCCTAAATTTTTCTTTGTACAGCGTAAACAAATAAACAAATAAACAAATTTCACACAAGAAGGTTTAGGTTTCTTACTCCAAAAAAGAATTCATAATTATTTCTATCCCTTACACGGAATAATCTGCAAGGCTTCAACTTCCCATCTGTTTCTTGTATAGCTCTCAAACTTCGAAAAATTTCTCCTGTTCACCGATTATTCAGTGGCAAACTCACTCAACTCCTCTCAAAAATTCATTTTCAAAACCTTTCAACAATGTACATTCAAAATTGATAACCCTACTTTTCGAGGGCCTAGACTTTTCAATCTTAACCCCTTAAGTACTGATACTCATCTCTGAATTAGCATCCATAAAGTAGAGAAGTGGCGAAAGTAAAGAGGGAAAAATTTGCGCACAAGCACGCCCTCCGCTGTCGTCCGTGCGCGCGCAGGAAGCTCCGCCCTGTTTCCGCATCTAATCTAACTACCGTCTCCCTTCATTAGCACTTCATCTTCGTGTGCCCATGAAAAGCTGCAGTTAGACGACGACGTCCGTCCGCGAAATCTTAAAGCTCTTGCTCTCTCAAGCTAAGGCGTAATTCTTCGCACACTAAACCAAATTTGATATTCTTCGTTCTCTCTATTATTTGTTCATTTCCTCATCACTCTTCACCCGTTTAATAGTATGAATAAAATCTTCAGAGAAAAAATACTCCATGAAATCTCGACTAAAACCCCTCGAAAAAACATCTCCAGTTAGACGCAAAGCCGCGACCGCTCCCATTTCGTTTTTATAGGCAAAAATAGGTAGTTGGCGCAAACTTGCTTTTATGTTCGTTGATGGAACAATTATTCAAGTCAGCATAATAGTAATCATTATGAATTGTCGGAAGTAGCACCGTTCATTGTTGTGTAATAATCGTGTTTTTCTACTTCACACTCTCTTTTGGTCGGCTTCGCGTGCACGAACGCGACGAATTTGAGAGAGACTACCGTAACCACCTAATTAAGATAGAAAATATTATGAAAATACACGGTAAGCTGTTGATAGCTTGAGCGAAGCGCCTTAGCTGAAAGTTCGTCGCCATGTAGAAAATGGCAAGCGCCCCCATAGTGGCTAATAATGTCTTGGTTCCCGGGTTGAATCCTTTATAGAGTTCTGCTTCTGCTAGCTTACATCGAATTCCTACTGAATTCTGATAGCAATGAAGCCAAAGTATAAGTATAAACTTTCGCTAAGGTGGAAATCGGTGGCAATTGGAATAAATTAACAAAATAGGCTGATTTCTTCAAACATGTTCCCCAAAGTGCCTTGACTTCTAAGGTTGAGGTGAATCTCGATAAGAAAAGCAAGATTGGAAAATTTGCCATCTAACGTGAATGTGGGTAAAACTGCGGCAGTGTTGCTAAAGTTGCATTGTGTTTCTGAAGTTGCGGCAGTTGCGCATGAAGTTGCTTTGGTGGTGTTAGACTTGCGGCAACTTCATGTACTGATGATAAAGTTGTTGCAACTTTGCCAGGATTGAATTCTCGCACTTATTCGCTGGCTTTTTCGAATTTGCGGATCAAAGTCTTTTAATCTAGAGTTTGGGACTTGAGAGCGCTCGCTCTTCTCTACCGCTTAAGTAAAATCCTGCTTCTAACAATTTTACTCTAGCTGAAGCCATTGTTTAAGCGTTCATCCGTGCACAGCTCGTTAATGGCTTAAACCAAGCCAGATTTTTACAGCAATTCGCCAGGTATTTTCTCCTCAGCCAGGCTACCGTTTCTCTCACCTGCCTAAAGCAATTCATGAGTCTCAACTAGTGCAATAAGCGAATTTCGGCGCTGGACGCGGTATCTTCAAAGCGCCTTCCGCATCTGTTGTCAGCCGCGATGTTATGTTTGATAATTGCCGTAGCAAAAACATTACCCACAGGTGGCCCGAAGTGTCACACCGTTCACACTTCATCTGGCTCTTGATGCGTCTCGACGCGCCCCTCGCAGATGACAATTTCGGATAGTTTGCTTTATGGCTTCGAGAAATTTCTATAGCTAACGCTGCGACTCTGAGCCAGCGCGAAATTTTAGAGCTAACTCAAATTATACCTCGCCTTCCTTCAAGTCAGAAAACCCCTTTTATGACTTTTACCTTCGAACTGGGTTCATATTCCTTCAACTTTTTGAAGTTATTCCCAAATTTTTTTCCACAATTTTCCACCTTTTGGTTTGGGCTAAATTTGCGAAAACGATTTGGAAACTTCAATTATTTAGATTGATGAAAAATTCTATGAACCATATTCTGAAATTCACTGAAGTAAGCAATAGGATATCACATAAATTCTGCTGCGTAGTATATTAGATTGAAAGTAGCAAAAAATTTGAAAACAAAATGAACAGATAACTTGCATACAAAATGGATGCTCGCTGTCCTTACCCTAGCTGTGCAACTTAATTTAAAAAGATCTGCCATTAACGCAGAAAATTTTTTGATGTAGTTTTTTCCAATTCCTAATTGCCGCTCTTGGCTAATTAGTTTAGTTAGTTTAGTTAGTAAATCATTAGGAGTATAAAACATTTCGAAGAGCAGCTTTTTACAAGAGTTTTCAGCAATAAATCTTCGCAGCCACATTTAATCATGTTTTGTTTACTTCTGAGCTTTCAGGCACTCCTCTTGCGTTGATTAATTAGAAACACCTTCCAAAATGCTCAACATATTCGGATTCTTTTGCGGTTCAGAAGAGGGATTACCTTATTGTCAAACTCAATAATCACACTAAAGCACTTGTGCAAGCCGATGTTGTGCCGTTGTTGGCCGTGCATAGAGTGCGGCTCTCTAATTAATTGCTAACACATGTGGAGGCTGGCTATAAACATTTTCGGTACTTTCAGATCGGCTAATTATCTCAGAGAGAGCAATCGATCTGCTTTCTCACTATTTGGAAAGAACTCTTAGTTTTTCGCTTCAGTTCTTGCATAAGTTGTGTTCAAATTCTTCACCCTTTTTTCGGCTAATTCTGAGCAGGACCTCAAACAAACATGTGCGCAAATAGATATAGTAAACATACGATTGCTTGCTTACACGGCACATCACCTTAGTATTCACAGCTTCTAAACTTCCTCAAATCGGGTGTAACTGAGCCCCATTTGCGGCTAATTACGCATTGTTTGCTCAGCGATCCATTTCATTTTTGCCGCCTCCATTCATTAACACTATTAGCTTCACGTTTACTTTTTTATCTTCGCCATTATTTCATTAGCATTAGCAGCTTTTTTTGGTAAAAACTTGCAGGGAAGCTCGATTTGCTTCCGGTGGAAGGTGAAAAAGATTTTTGCAAATATTGTCATCAAAGTGAGTAATCGCTGCAGCGCTAGTGATAAGCTCATCAGATATGCGCTTTGCAATCTCGTTTTTTTGGAAAGATAAAACAAAATTTTCGTATATTTTCTTGTTTTACCCTGAGAGCAACTAAAAAAGTTGGCAAGTTTTGAGGTAAACTTTTCCGTAAAAATTTTTGCTACGTCACCGATATTCTTCTCATCCTAGTGCTATTTTTGGTAATAATAATCATGTAAAACACTTAGAATTTCTCGTATTTCCGTGGACAACTGATCCCACAAATCTTTCACTACGCCTCTGTGTGTCTTGTTTTTCATCATCCATATGTGTGCCTTAACGTACCGCTCGGCTACTATCCGGTGTTGACGATGTGAACTACGCTCCCAGTGCCGCTGTTAGGTGATTTGTTCCAGATGCGGTGTCTTGATGTCGTCTGATTTCGGCGTGCACCAGTTGTTGATGCCATTCGACGGCAATCAACCTGGACCATCGAGAATGATAGTAGGTGAGTCCTTGAGGGAAAGCTTGGGTAGCTTTTTTGCACGGGAAATTAGAGCTGGGGAGGAGGAGAAAGGTGATAACTGGTGCAACAGAAACCTAGGAGGAGCACATCTATTCGAATAATAATTGTATCATCTGAATAACTTCTAGAATCCCCCACCAATACGCCACCAACGACGGATCCGTCTGACCTCCTTCGACTTCTTAGTGAAGGAAGTGGTAAGTTGCTTACCGGGTTTCAATGAATACCATTCAATTTTGCTCTCATCCTGATGTTCAACTAATCCAGGATCTTCTGACTCACCAAAAGCACATCTTGAACGACTTCTTAGTAGTGCTAGTGACTTACACGATAGCTCTTCACCTATGGCAATGGATGCATCAAATCCGTTTCCTATGGGAATGGATCTTTCCATGTTTGGTGATCTCACGGGTGCTGGAGCGCTGAGGTAGGATAGTGACGTAGTAGAAGTCCAAAGCTTGCATATGCATTCTCCTAAACCCTAATCTCTTCCAGAAACTCATCAAAGACGTTGAAATGCCCAAAGTGTAACTGGCACTATAAATATCAGGAGACTTTAGAGATCCACATGAAAGAAAAGCATTCAGATGGCGAGGTAGGTGATCGCAAATTTTATGAGCTCCTGAGAAAAAAGAAACTCCAATCAAATTTATATGGTTTAAACTAAACACTTACCGTAGCTTATCAATTAGTGTAATATTACAGTATCCTTCCAGGTGAAGTGCGGTTATTGTGCTGAGAATCGTGTACATCCGAAACTCGCCCGTGGTGAAAGCTACTCATGCGGTTACAAACCTTATAGGTTAGTTAGTCTATTATCAATCAACTACCGTAGTCATTTCGCTTAGATACTTACTGTATTTATTGTAGATGCGAACTTTGCAAGTACAGTACGACCACAAAAGGCAATTTGAGCATTCATATGCAAAGTGACAAGCATCTTCATGCGGTACAAGAGCTACCGAGTAGCATTGGTAAGCATAATTCTAATCCCTCTGTTGACGAAAAAATTTATTTACAGCTTCTCTATCCTGTCCTCCAGCTCGATCTCCTCCACAAGAGGGCGATCGTTCTCTAATTTGTATTGTCTGTGGCTGCTTTTCCAGCGATGATTTGGAGGAGATGATTGCTCATGCAGATAAGGTAAGTCGCTGATAGATCGGGAGGAACGGGGGGAGGGCAATGGGTGAAAGAATATTCAAAATTAAGTGATACATGATTTTGCCAATGTGAGCCAGGTACAAAAAACTGTATAATCGTAAGTAGAACTAGATAACTCTCTTTTACTATAGAAAATAGATGATTTATATCTGTCATTCCGAAATTAATCTGATTTGGTAAAAGTTCCCTATATTTAGATTATCTCTCCCAGTTTTCTATAAACTCAGGAAAAATAAGGCTTGTTAGAAGTTATATAATATCACAAACTGGTTGACCAAAGCCTCCAGTATTTTGATAATAACGATAGTGAAATTTAAATTTGGATATTTCGATACTCTGCTATGGTTAGCCCTATAAAATTGCATAAGCGAAGTCAGGTACTGTTTTTGGCTTAGTACTTTACGCATAAAAAACTCAATATTCAAAAAATCGTGACACCGGTGTTTCATGAACAAATCGTGGGGATGTAGAATGGGGCCTGCTAAGAGACTGAGAATTAGGTGAAATGTATCTGTTGATAAATCGCTATGCTGCTTACTGCTTCTTTTTTCACACCACAAATCGTACTGGATTTATTACGAGAATTAGCAACTACTATGAATGAAACACCACACTTTCGATCCATAAAGTATAGATTTTTCTATTGCCTTGTTTATCTGTTCCACAATGAATGCTTCCTGAATTTGCGATGACAATATTAGTCCTTTGTATTGGTACATTTTCAACGCAGACTAAATAGCCAAATTACGTCGAAACAGTACAATATAAGTGCATGGAAGCTGCAACTCAAGCTCTAGAATTTATTTGATTTCATGGTTTCAGGATCGATCACGTCCATCGCACGGGGATATATCGATGAGTGGAGGAGTGTTCCGTTGTCATCTCTGTCCATATCACACCAATTTGAAAGCGAATTTCCAGCTTCACACACGGACTGACAAACATCTGCAGCGAGTTCAAATGGTAAGTGATACACAGGTGGCTTCAGTGCTTCATGGAATTGATTTTGGTCACAATTCATCTCGGGTGAATCTGATCCTTAAACTTGGTTTTTGAAAGAGCTTTACGATTCTCCATAACCATACCAGTAATGAGATCCTTGCTAGCCGCGCTTTTCCCTCTCATAATCGCCATTATACGACATTTCCTCTGAATCACTTGGACGAGTCATGTGGGAATGGTCGCCAACATCTGCGTTGCGCCAGATAAGGCGTACGGTCATTTGCTTTGTCATTTGTAAATTGTCCATGACATTCCGATATTTAGAATAGCCACTGCTACGACTTTAGCAATAATTTCCATGGTTTCATGTGAAATTACTGATTGTGAGAAACAAGCAGATGTTTGCGACAACCTGCTAGGATCATTTCGGTTATGTAGGACCCCTATATATAGTCATTGACTGGATATCAACCACACAAAATATTCAGCTTCTTTTTTTTCTCGCTGCAGACCTGAGGACGAGATGGAGAGCTTTACCCATCGCAGATAAATTTTTCTTGAAATGACTATCCCAAGCTAATTTTTTTGTTCTGCTTTGAAAAACTTAACTGCATATGAGCTATTGCTATCTTGTTGCTCTAGTCTGCGCGATTGCAGAGTTCAGCCTTCTGAAAATCCTCCAGAAAGTTTTACCACTAAACTTACAGTCCCTTTCACGACCCACATCCTTCGGTCGCTTTTGTAGCCGTAGAGCGTTGCGATATCGTCGTGGTGGTGGTGGTGGCTGCGATGGTTGAGTCAGGCGAGGAGACGACGACGAATGAGTCACGGCACGTGCCGGCGAATTAATCTCACGCAGCGAAAACATTTCCATTCGCTCATTTATTGTTTGCCTTGGAATCACGACACACCGGCGCGACGGACGACGTTGAGCTATAAGCTGCGCTCTACAGTACGCCAAGCAAGGTGCGATGTGCCGCGAATCAACGAAGTGTAAATAGTGATTAGTAATTGATCGTCGCGATCTGTATGCGCCTATTAGCGTTTCGCGCTCAGCGGGTGGCTTGAATTACGACTGGTTCACGGCTTCCCTGGCAAACGCATAATTGCAAGAATTGGAGCATATTACAATTTTTCATAATGTAATGAATAGAAGTACAAATATTCTGGTCATTATCACCTCTTTCCTGTAATAAGCAGTACAAGAAAAGTAGAGCCGTACAGTAAGGATTATTTTCGTCTCTGCTCACAAGTTCGAGAACTACAGAGCTGACAGCAGACTCGTTTTGCATGATGACAGATCGATTGATAGATTGTCGATTTATTTGACACGCACCGCCGCTTCGAATAATAAGAATAACCGCCGAGCCAACTCGTCTCGCTGCTGCGTCACGTTTCAGCACTTCTAAATTACGCTTCTATAATCAAACATACTTTTTTCATAGTCGAAATGGAATTGGTGACTATCCTTGACAGTTGACTTCTTTTGAAGCTCGCTAATGTCTCTCATTACGCATAAACTCAAGTAACAAGGGGCTAGTCTAGCCTTGAACACACTACGAAATGGCTTTGAGGACAGTTCATAAGAAATGTCCCTCACGTATCATTGAGCTGATGAATAACGCCTCGCTTAGGTGACTGTGTGTGATTCTTCGTTCTTCATAATCGGCCAAATCGGTTTTTGTGCATCACTTCATTCGACATCGTAACACTTGCGAAACTCACACTGCGAAGTGTCTGGTTCATTGAAATTGCGCTCTATAACCTAATCTGTCAGCAGGAGTCGTTGTTCTTTTTGAAGCGGTTATATCAGATTATGAGCATAGAAATCTTGCTATATACTGTACAATCGGTATGACACATTTATGTATGACGCATGTGGCGCTGGAGCAAAATGATTGGAAAATAGAAAACTCTGACTGGACGACTGTAACTTCTTGATTCTAAAAAGAAATCTGTTGATTGGGGCGACAAATGAACCCCAAGTCGCGGCAACTCTACCACCACCAAAGCAACTTCATAAGCGCAGTGGCTATATCACAACTACAACACTAATGCAACTTCAACGCTGCAGCAGCTTTGTCACCACCATCACAGGAACCTTGTATGCATTCGCAAATCGTGCAAATCACTCACACCACAGCAACTTCAGCACTACCATGCAACTACACTACTACAGCTTGAGCAACTCAAATGCAACTCTACTTACTCAATCACAAATTTGTCAATTAGAATATTGACTAGAGCGATGCCGTCCAAAACACTGTCCATAACACCACTGCGGAAGTCCGCACAAATTCACGAGTACTGCGGGTTGTTTGTCTACTGTTCAAAATGTTCTATTAATGAGCTTAATGTACGTCAAAGCGCGATTCTTTCGAAGCACTTCATGTAAAAGCGTATTACAAAGCAAATCAAAACTCTTTTCAACAATTCAATAATAATTTTGATTTGTGTGATCATAAGCGTAAACAGTGGCCGCCTCAGTCGGCTCGAATCATTGCAGCATACATGATGACTTCTCATGACATCCAGTTTCAATAATCTGCTGCTTCGTATGCTACAAATCGGGGCGTCTTTTTCGGTTAGTCGTCTAATTGCAGAGTTGTAAAGACACAATGCGCCTCGCCATGTATTTGTCTTCCCTCTAATTCAAGTCCTAGTCGCCTACGATCCGCACATTGCTCGACTGTACATTATGGTCATATTTACGGGTGTTTGCTAAGCGCAAACCCTTCTCTCTAGCCGGACCAATACATATATTCACACGTTGCTCTCTTCACGGGTTTATTGCGAACCTACCTGCGCGTCTCACACGCACTTCTTTTGTCATGCATCGGTCATATCAACATATATGCAGACATATGCAGCAAATACTCAATACTTGTTACTCCGCAGTCAACCAACAAGTATAATCTCTCATAATTTTATTTAACGCTAGTACGTCTGTCACGAATCTTGGTAAAAGCTTATTTTTTAATTTTTTCTTTCTTTTGTTTCAAATCCAGTCAATTCTGTTGTACCGTAATTACAGATTTTGTACGAGAACATTAAAAAGTCTTTTTATTCCAACTTCACTCTAAGGCGTGAATGTCAATTCGTTAGAGGTCTGCGCAGTTTTACTATGCATAATGGCCTACCCAATTACCTCGATCACCTTGATCGACCTCATTATGAAGACTTTCTGCGCAAAGAGCGCCTCTCTTTCCTCTTTATCACACTATTTGGCCGATGTAGTTTCTCACTTTTGCTCTTACATAGTACCAAAAAAGTTGACTGTGCCGTTCGTTACTGTTTTGCCTGCCCCTCTGTTCGAGTATTTTCATGCACTTTACTCATACAAGTCATAAGATCAAGCACTGGTCATATGACACTTGACAAATAATGAATTCTTCCACATACGCGTCAACCCTCGGCATTCGAACGGCACGCGACAAATACGCATTTGACTTTGCGGCGCGTCGGCTCTCATTATGCGATTAATCGTGATTCGAGCCTCGCTCACGAGGTCACAAAGACAATACCTGAGAAACTGCTGCGCCAATAAAATTCCCCTCAAGGAGGCCACGGCTACGGCGGCGGCGCTGTACGCTAAGGTCATCAGCCCGCCGCGCCTTGGCCAGCCACCGCCGCGGTAGCTGCTAATCGTGGAGGCGTGGCCGCCGGCGATGATTGGCCGCGACGACCGCCGGCGTCTAATCGACAGCCTATCAGCTAATGAGCGTATCGACCGCCCATCTTAACTAAGCTCGCGCCACCGCTTAGATCTCATTCATCGCCTTTGGGGCATTTAGCACCTACTTGTCGGTGGTCACTGCGCATTCCGCCACTTGACAGCTTATGATGAGCAATTCGCGCTGCGCGCTCCGTTATGCGATCGAGTTCCTAAGGAAATGGACGTCCTATTATTGCAAGACCACTTAAATGCAGTCTCATTCGCTCATAGGTATCTGAAAGCTTATTGCTAATAAGGATTACCAAATCAAATTAGACTGTACTGCATGGATTTACTCTGCATGAACAAACTCACCTTTTGCCGTCTAGTCGTCCCCATTTGGGGCTTTTGGCAATAAACAAACGATTAACCATGTCAAAAGCTTATCATTTTTTCTGAGAATGTCGCCTGGATCTCATGCCTTTCTTCATTGTGTACTTTTCAATTCACGTAGTATTGTAAACAAGCTTGATCTTTTGCATCTTTTCCTGTGTTCTCATGTGCCCGACGTCGTATGTATCACCGAGACGTGGTTGAATTCTAAGATCTCCGATCCTGAAGTCGTTGCTGATCTTCCGTACTCTCTATATCGGACTGATCGAACTCGTCGTAAAGGCGGAGGAGTCTGTTGTTTGATCAGAGACGAATTTGCTGTAGAATCCATCGATGCCATAAACGGCCACAACTGGGAAATTCTTTGCCTGAATGTATGGTCTTCATCATCACTTTCTTCTCTAAGGTTTATCATTGTGTATCGACCTCCGTCCTCCAGTAGTGATGATGACAACACCTTGGCCGATGTTATACAAGACCTATGTTCGGTACAATCAGCAACTATCGTCCTTGGGGATTTCAATGTTGATTTTCTCTCTACCAACATCCGATCTAACCGAAATTTCCTCTCTTTTCTAAATGATTTTGGTTTTCAACAGCAAGTGACCTTCCCAACTAGAGGGCAAACTGCTATCGATCTGATTTTCGCATCCCATGAATTTATCAAAAATATCACATCTCATCCTCCTTTTGGCTCCTCAGACCATAATCTTATAACTTTTGATGCAGATTTCAACCACTCTCACAAAAATGAATTTGTTCCATATCCAAATTTTTACAAAGCCAATTTCCGAGAAATAAGTTTGTCTATTCAAGAAACTGATTGGTTTGAAATCTTCAAAGATATTGGAACAGTGGATGAACTTTACCATCGTTTTTGTAAAGAATTGTATATAATTTTTTCAAAACATGTTCCTTTCCAGTTTAAACCTATCCAGCTAAAGAGGTACCCACTACATATCCAAAATTTGCTGCAGCAAAAATGCAGACTTTTTTTGCGTTTGTCTGATCCGCTAAGCAATCAGCTCTACAAAAAAGTCTGCGCTGATATCAATCATCATATCAGAAAATACCTGGGCAATCGCGAGAGACGACTTTCTATGCATAAATTCAAAGGACTTTTTAGTTATCTTCGCTATAAAACAAAAGGACAACATAAGATTTCTGATCTGATGGATGATCAGGGAAATGTCTTTATTAGCGACAGCGAAAAAGCTGAAGCACTTGGTAATTTTTTCGCATCATTTTTTAGTGAACCAATCTCAGCCTCAAATAGCCTGGTACCATCCTGTCACCCAATAGTTCGGATAGCGCCGTCCTGCCCGGACTTAAGTATCAACTCTACCATAGTCTACGAAGTCTTGAAAAAATTGGAGCCTACAGTTAATGTAGCATACGATGGTATCCCTCAAATCGTATACCGGAAATGTGCCAGTGCTTTAGCTTTTCCTCTGTCTATCATTTTCAATGCCTCCTTATCGCAAGGTGTAGTACCTAATATTTGGAAGGAAGCGTTAGTAACTGCTATACCTAAACGCGAGCGCAACAGTCACCTTTCTAATTTTAGGCCCATTAGCATTACTGCTCCTTGCGGTAAAATTCTCGAAAAACTCGTAAAAGAGAAGTTGCTTAGTTGGTTGGAAAAGAACAAAGTTCTCCCGTCTGCCCAAATGGGTTTCCTCTCTGGTGGGTCAACCACTGCCTTACTTACGGATTCTGTTTTTGATTGGACTACCGCAGTCAATCACGGAAAATCAGTGGATATTGTCTTTTTTGATTTATCCAAAGCTTTCGATAAGGTCGACCACTCCAAATTGCTCCTTAAACTAGAGAACTACGGTATTCGAGGGCAGCTACTCTCTTGGCTTGCCTCCTACTTGCAAAACAGGGGTCTGACCGTTCGTGTTGGGACCAAATTCTCAAGACGGCTTCCCTGCAATAGTGGTGTTCCCCAGGGTGGCATTCTTTCGCCTCTGCTCTTTCTCTTATACACTGCTGAATTACCGGCTTTTTTGAAGACTCACTCAAATGTGAAGGTCCAAGTTTTCGCAGACGACATAAAAATCTACTTTTGCTATGGGAAAGATGAACAAACTATGGCATATGAAGCAATCCAGTCCTCAATTGAAAGAATGATGTTATGGTCTCAACAGTGGAATCTTCCCGTTAATGCCCTCAAAACTAAAGTAATGCATCTTGGTAGTCTTCCCTATCGCAGTCATATGTATGAGGGTGTGGAGTTAGAGCGGTGCAAAGCCACTAAGGACCTAGGCGTTTTCGTTGACGAGAAACTAAAATTTTCTCTTCACTATGAGTCAATTTCCAAAAAAGCGCTGTCTGTCCTTTACGTGATTTTTCGAAGTATTCACTGTAATGATGCCTTGCTTCTAGTAAGGTTATACAAAACGTATGTAATACCATTGTTAGAGTATGCTTCACCAGTGTGGAACCCTTTCCTAAAAAAGAACATCGCGAGCTTAGAGAAGGTGCAAAAAATCTTCACCAGAGTCCTTTTTTACAGATGTTTTCCCAAACCCGATTATCCTGACTCGTTACCATCCTACCAAATGAGGCTAAAGGCTTTAAGGTTACGTAGCCTAAAATATAGAAGGATATGCAACGACTTGGTTTTTTGTTTCAAAATTCTACGATTGGAAACAAGGCTTAGACCCAGTAATTACTGGATCTTCAGGCCTTGTGGCAATCGAACCGGGGGATTTTCTCTGGGATACCGTAGTTTGGGAAACAACAGTATATCCGTCGCTTTTAATTCTTTCGTGTGCCGTACGGCTAGATGGTTGAGTCTTTTACCAAGAGAAGTAACCTCTTGTGCCAATTCTGCCCAATTTCGCAAAAAGTTAGCTTCTATCGACGTTTTGCAAGTTCTAAAAATTGATGATGTCTCTTGAATGGCTCATCCTGGGCCAATCAGTTAGTTCTCTACACGTCAACTGGAAATTTACGAACTTTTGGAACTTTTGGTACACTTTTGCGTTCCTTTTTGAATTGAAGTTTGTTGGATTTCGTGTGATATAAGCAGTCTGCACCTGTTCTGAGTAAAGCGAACTGCTCTCTTCGCATGGAAAGCCGTTTGAGGAACACGAAAGTTGGCAAGCCCGTCTGTCTTGAGGTCCCCCCTTTCTGCTCGCCCGGGGTCCCTGGCGGATTCGTCCGCTCTGGGTTAAGTTGGTCAGCCGAGCCCCGGTATTAATTATACTACAAGCCTGCGTCCAGGTAAGGGAACAGGATCTCAACAGAGAACGCACGCCTTCTGGAAGGAGAACGACATATTCGATCCAGCAAGGGAACAATCGCATTATTATCTTGTACTATGTTTTTTTTTTTTTGTATTGGTGCACTGCTGTGTGTATTCTATAAATAAATAAATAAATAAATAAATTTTTCCAAACATTTTCCTAACGAATACAAAGAGTCAAAATCCCTAAATTACTTTCAGTCACTAAGGAGTCGTCGCTAAACTCCAACAAAAATTATGCTGATTTTTGAGCGGCTCTGCCCTTCTTCAATGAGTCAGACAAATTTCACCGCAGCGAACCAAATTGTCTGAGACTTCCCTCGTTGATCTTCCTCGCCTAATGCTTAGAGTCAGAGACGACCAGTTATTCGTATTATCGTTTTATGCTAATGCGATTATATTCACGATCGATGTGTTTATGATCAGACGAGGTGTGTGGTGGGGGGATTGCAGGCGTTGATGACTGCGTGGTTCGGCGCTGAGCGGCGTACTCACTCAGCACTGAGGCGATTGGTTTTCTTTGTATTCTGCTCATAATACTCTTATCCAATCCACAGTCGAACGACTCCGCGCGTGCGCGCGCCCAGCTGCCAAATCAGGCAACTTGTACGGCTGCGACCGCAGCGGCGACTTGGGCCGATTGTTGTTTGGCAGCCGTCGACAATCGGCTCGGTGGTGTACGTTTCATTCATTTCGAATCTGGTCTGTTGCCTCATATGTGCGTGGCGTCGAACGAACGTCGCTCGCGCAGCACCTCGTCACCTCATTCAATGTAACTCATTCGGACAATCACACACCTCACTCGCCTCGAATCGGCTTATGTGCTTCAATGAGCGATTCAATTTAAAAACGTTTTTGCCGGCGTTTCGTGTCGAGGATTTACAGCAGCAGCGATCCCTGCATCCATTCATGGTCACGAGGCCTGAAAATTGCTTTTGCATACAAATACCAACACATCCACCACTATAATTACAACCACTTCGGCAAACAGCGCCTAGATTGGGAACACTGCCAAAAAAGTGTTTTCCCTTAACATCAAAAAATCGACCAGTAGGAGCTCGAATGCATTTGACTTTTATCCATACAGTCTGATCTAGCTGAACCTAGATCCCTGTTTCAACTATGGAAGGCCAAATAACGGTTGCTATTTGATCATTGTAACTTACTAATAACCAGACCTTTTCAATAATTTTTTCCGGTAGCGACTTTTTCGACCTAGTTTCCATGCAACCGCTATTTGGCCCATCAAGTACATAATTGTTGCGTCAAAAAGTATTGAACCTATCCGCAATTACGGACTACGAAGAACAAGTCTCGATGATCGTTCGATACTTGTCCTGAAATCGAGACTACAATCATGTTGATGTAACCAGTGCAAAGAAAGACGAGAGATTTGGGATATATGCTCAAGATTTTCTTTCTGTGTAAATAATGAAGGTACTCAAAGTAAGCTGGATTTGATGACTGTGGCTCAAAATTTCAAGTTTCCTAGGGAGGCATTTTTCCTAGTTAATATATTGAACTGAGAAAACTTCTGATGAGGATAAGTGGAGTTGCATTTGAAATACTAAAGCTGTAGTAGTCTACTTGCATGATATTTACAATTGCTGTGGTGTTGCGGGTGGAGCTTCTTGAATTGCTGAAGTTGTAGTAGCGTAGTTGCATGGTGGTGCTAGAGTTGCTTCGGTGTTGCGGGTTGATTTTGTCTAACTCAATAACCTCGACTTGCGTTAATTAAAATATTTTGACTTTTCTCCGAGCAGCTCCACCACTAAGCACCAAATTAGAGGATGAATGACTTTTATGTGCGGGCGATTATACAGAGATCATTGTCCAATTGAGGTATGGTTCATGGTTTCTAGGTTAATCACATCCGCGAGGGCACCTCCGCGTCATCAGCACTGTGTCGAATCGGAAACGCAAAAACCGTTTTTCAAGTACTTTGCCGTCCGTGTCAGGAGCTTCTGCCAAGGTGAGGACACGCTTATTGCCATTTGCCCAGAAAAACCTTTATATTCTACAGTATCTCATAATTTGTCTCTATACTCGAATCTAGTTGATCATCCATTTATTCCTCTCTGTCATCGAGTACCATGTCAACTATCATGACTACTCGGTAATGAGAGAGGATTCTCTTTGATATATGGCCAGTATCAACTCGCTATAATTGATGACAATAACAGCATAGATCCTACTGTATTGCACAAAAATTACCTAATTATTCTGCGCTCTTTTTTCTCTCTGTTTTTGCAAGTCATTGTTTTTCTGCATTTGATGTTCCACATTTTGCAGTGCTTCATCACTACGAGACCACTGCGAAAGTATCGCACATCGTACAAATCTTCGGCAACCGATTACGCATTACAAATGTCGGTTGTGCTCCTTTGACACACCGCATAAACAAGACGCTATTGGTGAGACCTACTACGTTCAGTTCTCTCTCTATTGTTGCGTGGATTCAATTTGAGCTCGTCAGAATTCGTATGTGTGGTTCAGCTTGATTTGATCAAAAAAGAGGCGAACTTAGCGCTGAAAATGATTCATAACAATTATCAATCGATCGGCTTGATTATGAAAACCAAAAGAAAGTAATTTATCTAAATGTCCTCAAAAATAACTCCCATATACTAGTCACAGGGGCGTTCGCCATTATAATCACTGTCCTACAAACAAGTGCACTGATTGAGCTCATTAACTAGTTGACGAAGCAGAGATGCGGCAGATAATGAGAACAATCTGCAACTTTTCCTTTGGCTAGAGCTTAGCGCTTACTCGTTTCTATTATTGTCTAATCGTCGCCGATCATGTTCACCACATAAAATCCGAAAAAGTCGTTGAAGACCTTGCGCAGTGCCTCGGAGTAGTTATCGCTCCTTAAAGTTACTCATGCATAAATGGGGTAGTCTTATCGTCAGAGAAGTAAATCTTGAAGTTTAGTTAACTTTACAAACTAAATGTCGCATATTTAGGCCACATGACGTGTCACGAAGCAACAACCTGGCCAAGGAATACGATAGGTAAGGTGCATGTAATCGAGAGTGTCAGAATAATGCCCATATCGCTGCGACTAAACTGCAGTCGCGCCGGCGTTTGTGTTCCTTTTCTACTCGAGGCGTTCATTTGGCACACTAGCCGCCTTCTCTCTAACTAACAATCGAAATGCGGGAAAATTAGGCGAGGGTTGGCCAAGTCTCAAAGGCCCCATATGATGAATCGGCGTCATTGCCTAATTTCGGGCTGCCTGCCGGCGCTTCAGCTCGCTCTCATTGCAATCGCGGCTGTAAATATCCAAAACACACACCATTAGCTATATAAAAGTTGTGAAGGAACTCTTCTGTCACTTCCTTCTGGAGACTTCAATTTTTTCTTAGGTGCTTCTGATAATGATAACATAGGTCTCTCTAGTTATTTCCTTTTGCGCACTATAGCGCAATAGTGCTAAGTTTTGTGAGCCAAATTAAGACCTTATGGCACGCGAAAACTGTAAAATTTTCAGAGAATCAGGTGGTTGAGAATAACTTGATATGCTCTCATGCAACTATTTTTTTTTGCAAATTTTGATTTTTTTTACTTGATGGCATTATCAGAGTTAATCTGCAATAAAAAAGTTCGCGTAGTGTGTGAAATACATCTCCCGAAACGGCTCTCGGCGCTTGTTTTTCGTCACTCTATATCGCCTCGCGACCACCGCACTGCCTCACGCCCTCGTTTCGGTCCCAGTAACGCAGCAGCAGCGCATTGTTGCACGTGAAGGACGTTGCGCGAGCAGTTCGCCATCGTCGCCGCCGTGGTGGCCGTGGCGTCGCCGCTCGAAAATGATACTCTCTTCGCATGGGCAACATTTAATTGTATCCGTTATTACCTAATCCGGTGCTGTTCAATTATATCTCAATTAGTCGTTCGCTCTATTGTTTGTTTTTATAAGAGTTTTCATGGTCAAAAGTTGGTGGGTTGCGCGATGAGAGCGACGGCGTTAGGTGTGCTGGGAGTGCGTATGGGAGAGTGTGCTGGTGGCGGTGGTGTGCAGGCTGTGTTGCTCGCTCGCGCTTGCGAACGCCGCTGCCCTTTTCGCTCGTTCGCCTATCGCGTCGGCTCATCGGCTAAACATAGCCAATTAGCTTCTTCGTTCCATTACTGATGTTATCTGTGCCGAATCCGCCGCCAACTTCGGCATTCTCAATTCCTTCGGATGGAGTCATCAACAAAGCTCCGAGCTTCATTTGAAATGAACCCCATTCCGCTTACTCCTTATGTCTCCTCACATTCCTTAGGGTAGAGGCAACTCTTCTCTCAGTATCTTCTGTCCCTTCCACTTCTTTTTTTTAAATAGTCTAACTTCAAACAGCCGTACCCGATCCTTGTTTTTTCTATCCCTCTCTTTCTCCGCTTCCGAGCTCTTCAAGAACGCGGCGTTCCGGATCGCTGTTATTCGAACGATGTGCTGCCTTACAAATGTATTGTTCTACAAAGCGATGAGGCGATGCGAAGATCGTGGACAATAGGTAAGTCAACAGGACGATGAAATGACGGCGGCAGAGCCGAGCCGCAACCGCCAGGCCGGTCCTAACCGATGGATGATCCACGAAAACCGCTCAGCGATCCATTTCAACTGCAAGCTGATCGTCAAACACGTCGTCGCAGAGTAAAAGGGAATCTTGGTGCTTTTTGAAGAGTGAGTGAGGAAAAGGAGGGGGGAGGCGGGAAAGGGAGGGAACGGAGAGGTGAAGAGGTAGGGCCTTCGAAGAGATGCACTCTATGAATTTATCACGTGATGGATTTGGTTTTTTGATAGTTGCGAACTTGGAAAAATCATTTATTGTCCACTGCAACAATTGTTATCAACGCGTCAACACAAATTTTGTACGTTTTTATACTATTTGAAAAAATCGCTATTCATTCTTGCTGCTCTGATATCTCTTCAAAACCAATAATTTGAATTTACTCTCTACGTTGCTATAAAAGGCGGCTCATATAATAACTACTATGTATCACTAGTTCGTCCTAGGGAAGGTTCAAATTCTGCTGTCTTGTACATTCATCACTATCATCAGCTTTGCAATCAAACATAAAAGAAGGGTGTAACATATCTGATTTATAACGCTGTTAGGGCAATGGTCCTTTCCGCTTTATAAAGGCTTCAGCGGGCCTTACAAGCAACGGTGGTTGCAGGGGGGAATTTCGGGGGTTTTTTTTGGCAAGCAGGTCACTTTGCAGATGAGCAGAACATGAAGAGGTCGTGTCCATACTGGACCATCACACTATCGCCACGCTATCCCCGGGGGGCGAAGCGCGGCGGAGGCAGCGGCGCCGTGCGGCCATCCTTCTTCTCGCGCCGCCCAATTAGCCTCGCTGCCTGCCAAAATCTTTCACTTTCTGCTGTTTTTCCTGAATTGCCGCCGGGTGCGGACGTGGCTAAGCCAATAACTGTGCGCGGCTGATGAGCCTGTTAGATGCTAATGATTGTTTGGACATCGACACGGCAGCAGAGCAGATAGTGAGGAGTGTGGCGGATGCTACCGCCACCGCTGGCCGAATACCTTTCGAATGCCCCGGGCAAGAGACCGGGCGCACGATGCGCGAAAATCCCGAAGCAGATTCGGACGCGTTCGTTCTCACTTCCCGTCACCGTTCCTCATCACACCGTCGTGTGTGTGTTTGCTTACACTTGCCGGTACCGAATTGTGCTCGTTGTCTGCGTGGTGTGTGCGTGTGTGTGAGAGTGAGGCTGTAGGGGGGAACTGTCGGTTGTGATGTCCTTCTCGTACCACCGTGACACTGTGCCGATCTTCTACACGCTTTGACCATGCCTCCGTTCCCTTTTTGTCCATATCTGAAGTCCCAGTGTTGTCCTGGTAATAATGGGTCTCCTTTGGTGGCAATGCCGTGAAGAATTTTTCCAGCCACATTGTCAAAGAGGATTTTCATCAAACCATCATTATTAGTGGGCGGGAGACCTCCGCCATTCGGCCGTTCCCCATACGTCCTTGGCAAGAGCTTATTGACGATTTACTTCTTTCTAACTATTACCGTTAAAGTAATGCATACCTAAGTATTGCCCTTTTTCGGCGCAGTGCTAATACTTTTATCGAGGAAAATCGTGAAGAACAAACGGCTGGATCTCCTTTATAAAGACACATTTGATGTTTGAAATTTATGGCTTCAAAAGGCATAAAGAAACTAAAAAGACTCCAGATAATGCAACAATACATTGCTAATAGCTTCGCCGCCGTCATCAAACATCATTATGGTCTCATCTGCTTTTAAGTCGTAGGGAAAACAGCCGATTTTAGTCATCAGCTCTCAAATCTTTATCAATCAATCATATTGTATAAGTCGTGTGCTCTCATCGTCAAAGCAGCTAGCGTCGGGCTGATTTGATGTGTCATTCGATGAAGTTTCTCTCCGCATTAGTCTCTACGTCATCTATATGTCCACATATGGAGAAGACAAGACTATTAGTAAGCGATCAGTCCTGCGGGCAAGCGCATTGCTCATGGGAAGATTTTGCTACAATTTTTTGCGAGCAGATCGACAATTCTGCAAAAGGAAAGCTTTTATACTGTGCTTAGATGGCATTGAAATGAATTTGTTCGAAACTTTCTGGTCACTTTGCTCGCTGTTTTGTCTCTGCGTATCGCGATCAATCAATCTCAATTCCAATGAACTCATTTTGCCAATCCTATTTGATGCTCCTCCCCTCCCTCATATTCTTCGAAAAGAGTTTGGCTCAACAAAGGCGATAATAATAAGTCTATTTAGAAACGACTGTCACATTTCCCACCGCAGCCGCCACCGCCGTCGCAGCAGCCTGCTTCGTCTCGCATCGTCGCCGTCGCCGTCGTCGTATACCGTAACGCAAGTGCGACATTAGAGTATCGCGCGACACGGTGCGACAGCGCGACATCGCGGGCTCATTTCCATGTTTGTTGAATGACAGCGCGCTGGGCAATTCTCATAACAATTAGATAATGCTTGGGAATCGGTGCGCCGTTGGCGGCGGCGGCGGCGGCTGCGCTGACGGCTGGCTGGCCGCTGCGTCCCTCCGTCGTGGAGCATTTGTCGCTTCTCGCGTATGCATCTCTCCGTATTGCACTGACTAAGTCATTCATTATACGCTTGGCATACGGTAGCTTCTCGAGTCTTGGATTTTCCACGTCGAGGACTTTTCCAGAAATTACCAAGTTCCATCTTTGCCTGACTTGTAAAAATCTCGCTTCATCCTCTTCTCACCGAAGCAACCATTTGCTCTCATTCGTTGCGCAAAATCGTGCCCAAACAAATGCCGAATAATTCATGAGAGAAATTACGAATGTGATTCCCCCCTGTCCAATGAGACGTCAATATTTATACAATTCGCTCATGAGCTGATTAATTTATTGACGATTACGGTATCACATCGCATGCATCATTGTATGGGAACGCAGAGCTCGTTTCGAATGTTCCGTGTTCAAAAGCATTTTTGTCTTCTATGAATCTACTTTATATATCTCCAAACAAATTAATTCATGAACCATTTTCATGGTTTTCTTTAATTGAAGTGCATACCGGCTAAACTCATGAGGCTAATTTTTCTGAAGCTCATTTTAAATTCGCTTTTACTATAGTGACCTATTCATTGACACAATTCATCCAAAATTTTCGTATCGCTGTCCATTTTGAACAGCCTGGAAGACCTTTTTGATGAAGTTAATAGCAGGTGCACATGATTTGCTTTGTACATGATTGCTCATTCAGAGTAACTTTTACACAATAATTTCTCATAGTATTGTTCGCAAATCATATGGGGTCATACGTAACTAGTTTGTTTCTTCCTTCTGAATTTTTTTATGAAGTGCTCATTCAGAACATTGAACTTTTGACAAGGAAAAATTCGGGCTAGTGTGAGAGAGCGTGAGTTAATTCTATAAAATACATGGGGCTATCTATTGTGAGAGTTTCATAAATTTCATAATGCACACATTTCGGAATTTGAACCTCACGCGTTGTAGAACACAATATAAATACGAAGCTTATTTTATCAATCAGCTCTCAAATCATAACGAAAAGCACCGCGTATTTTCTCCATCGAACGAACGAACAAGCTCGTTTGCCCTTTTTGCGTGTCGGCCTAGTAGTGCGAAGTACGCGAGATACGTTTTTGTTTGAAAGACCGCACCTTTGCTATTTTTCTGCTAAATGTTTAGTTTCTTTCTTGCAGATTTCAATGCGACGACGATGAGCGACGATGCGGCGTATGCATGTGCCAGCTGTGGATTTACAACCAGTAAGTTTTGCACAAAGTTATCTTCAGCTGATATTCGATGTTTATCTAAAGCTGACCTCTTCCTACTTGTTTTGCCTCAAATTATTGCCTCAAATTACTGCTGAGAGTTGAAAATTTGCGCCCCGCTAGTTGGCTTGTGATGGTAACGTCGTCTCCGCTGCCACCGTTCTGAATTCCGGTTTTGACCTCACACACACTCTCACACACACGCATACACACAACCCAGCCGCACTCACACCAACAGAACCATCACACAACCAAACATGGACAGTCATCTGTAATTTGCCTTGCCATGACACTCGCGTCGGGGCCTAATTGCGCTCGATCGTCGTCGTCTGGTGCGATCGGCGGCGGCATCGCACGTTGATTTACGCGCTTCGCTGCGATTCTTCCGCGTTCGCGTCGTGAAAGAGTCGCGCGCCTTGTATTTGTTACGTAACTGAGCTGCTGCTGGCTGATGGTTGGGTTGAGGCTGGGAATGAGGTGAAAACAGGTCCGTCTGCGCGATCCTTATATGGCTAGTAAAAATTCTTTGGCATGGGAATGGGGGGAATTCCTCTTGTTTCACGTGTGGGCCATGATGTTGCCAATGTCGTCGTTACGCACGATCAAAGCTCCATTCTGATGATGATGAATGGCCGCGTCATGTACACACACATACTGCTCTTAAGTACCATAGAAAAGTACATTTTTGATGGTGATTGTCATTATGACCGTAACGATTTTGCCTACATTGAATGTTCACAAATTTACGCTCGCACAGAAGCTACCAAAAAATTTTGCATGGATCTAGTGCTCATTGTTTTTTGCTAAGTTATTTCATAACGCAAGTGTCTGGGGGCTATAATCACAAGCTCTGTAAGTACTGCCTTCCTCCTCCTCCGTAGACACAATTGAATAAAGATCTATTTACGTTTTCTTCAAACAGTTTAGATCGAAGTCTTTTGCTAATATGTACTGTGGTCCACAAGCACCTTTTTTGAAAAGCAAAAATGTGTAAAGAAGCCAAATTTATCATCATAATCCCATAACAAGGTAGGTCGCTGAGGTTTTTTGGAATTTTTCCAAATTGTGCAGACGAATCTCGTAGCAGAATTCTACCACCTTCAGTCTAGATCGATGTGATCTGTACCGAAGCGGAGTATATTTGAAGTTACTCCATAAAAAATTTATTCTGGACTTTTTGACAATTACTGGCGACAAATGGCTCCTATTCTCTAATTTTGTCAAGAGGCACGAAAAGTTTGCACAATCAGTAGTTGAAGACAAAGAAGAACCGAAGTCAATGGTTATACTTCAACCTAGATAACCCTCATGCAAAAATCGTCAGAGTGGCTGTAAAAGCTTTCTATCAAAGATAATTTGCTAAACACTCATATTCTAATTGCTCTTGTGAAATCAAAAAAAATATGACTGCATAATTTATAAGTCGGAATGCTTGTTTGGTGCAGGCGGGCAATGAAGCGCTAATGGGTCGGAATTGGAATGAATTTTCTCGCTTTTATTCTCAAAAATCTAATGACAATCAATCGATGTGCTCATCGTCGTCGTAGTGGCGGCGTCGGCGGCGACGGCGGCGGCGTCTCGTCGTTCCACCATTCACATTTCATTATCTCAGTTATTGACGCAGTTTAGTGCCACTTTTTTAGCATTATAATTAGCATATTGTGCGTTATGGTGGCGCGCACTCACTTGAGACGGTCGAGCCGCGGGCCCCTTTGATCTCGACCGCCACCCTCCACGGCACACCTGCACACTCGCGGCGGCGGCGCCGTTCGCCGTTCGCCATCGCCACTTCTCACACTTCATCCAGAGCAAAAGCGCGACCAGAGCGAACCAAAAGCGAAGTGCAAAAGTTTTGGTTCACATGCACACAAAGTTTTCTATTTGACGGACTACATGGGTCATTTTGTGGTGAGAACACATGCGCTGAAGCGCAGTGACAAGGCGTGGCGCGAAAGAGTGAAGTGACACGGTCGGTGAAACTCCCCGACCGGCATCGCTTTGATCTCGCCGGCATCATCTTGATAAATTGACGCCTCGGAATAGTTATAGTTGGTGATTAGAGGCGTTATCATTACACTTTCTCACTTCATTCCATACTGTCCTTAATTAGAACCTGCCACGGCCAATATGTTTCTGCAGAATCATTTCATGCCTGCCAAATTAGGTAGATTGAGTTTAATATTTTCTATTTCCCATCGGAATTAGGTGCTTAATTGGATAAGAATTGTTGCTGTCATTTATTCAAGTTAGAAGATTATTTTTCGTTCTCATTCGATAATTCTGATAGCAGAGCCGTGAAGTGAGCATGGTCCTTAGAGGGAGATAAAGAGCGATGCGAGATTTTTGAACCTTAGGCAAAGCTCATGATGGGTCACGAGTAATTGAAAATAGGACTCAGGGAAGCTTTGATTCTCCGGAATTATTTGCAGCAGGAAAAAAAATCTGAAACGAACTCAACAGGAAAATTTTCAAAAAAATTTCAGAGGACGCTCAAATGTTGGAGGAACATGCACGTACGCACGAAGAAGGCGAACAGTGCCCGTTATGCTCGGATCGTACGCAGAAACTCACCGAGCATTTAATTCAGGTGAGGTCTCACTCAGACGCTCAACAAGTCTCTTTTTTCTTCACCGCCTGTATGAGTCACTCACTCGATCGAGCCGAGAGCGTACTTTCTTTCGAGACCAGGCACAGGCAGTAGTTCACCCTAGTATCGCCTCTATATTACAGGAACATAAGATTGCCGAGTCAGCGGTGGAACGGCTGCTCGCTGTGCATCGTCCAGAACCATCCAGGTGAGTCGGTGCGAACGAGAGAATCGTTCTCATTAATTGCTAATAAGTGGAAAAAGGGCTTGGCTAGAGAGCTGTGTGATCGGTCACGTAGAGAGAAGTTGATGAGTCCTTTAATTACTGTCATTGCACTCTTTTTAGATGTTATTGCTTGGTTCTCAGTAAATTAATACTGAGCGAGTTTCGCTTAAGCTCTCTAGACCTACCTATTCGATTCCTTCGCTTAGAACTGCCACTAGTCCTTGTTCTCTTCTCAAGAATCACTCATTTTCTCTAAAGTGCTGTTTTTTGCAATGTCCAAGCAACCTTCTGCGGTCGTAAAAACACAAGCAAATCGGAGAAAAAACTAAAGTAACCTTTTTTCCTATTCTCCCTCTTCTTGATCAGTGAGCGACTTCCTCAGGAACTTTTTCACCTTTTATTCACTTGTCGTCATTGAAAGCGCCCAAAAAGAGCCCCAGGTCTGTCTCATTTGAGCAACAGTCGCTTAATACCGTAACCTCTCTCTTGTCTCGTCTAGAGCTCAGCGTTCTCGTCGTCGTCAACGCCGTTTATTTACATTTCTCTATCCCTTGTCGCTCTGTGTTCGACGCTCATTTTCCCATTATTGTAATGATTGACAATAGACGAGCCGACGTCGACGCTCTTTTCCCCATCAGCCCCAACCAACCACCCTGGTTATAGAGCTGAGATTGATTCTAAAGTTGAGAAGGTAATGGCTGTTAGGAGCCTTTTCGTCCGGGCTACTCGAGAGACCAGAAGGGGTTGGGAGAGAGCTGTGAATGGGTGGAGGTAGGGTAATGCGAGCCTTGATTTAGGAGAAATAATTCAAAGATGTTGTAAATAAGCTCAAGCTGAGATGATCTCAACTTTTGCCAGTTATCACAACGAATTCTTAATTTGAAATATTTTCGTTCAGGAACCTCATGACCTTGAGATTAGCTTCCTCAGTTCCATCCTTTCTCTTGATTTGTCCCAGAGCTGCTTCCTCAGTGTGCTTTGCCTAAAAACATTGTGTTTATACTTGTTTCCCCCCCCCCCCCCCACCACCTCAGTGATTCTTTGATTCCAAAAAATTTGGTTTTTTCCTGATGTCGATGCACTATGCTCAGGACAAATCCGAATTTAAGCTCTACGAAATAAGAGATGTTCTTTTGTAATGTTTACTAAGTCGTCTTTCATTCATTTATTTACTTCCTTAAGGATCAGATTTCCGTGGCTAAAGCTTTGTCACTAGGTTGTTCAATCGATTTCACCCTTCAACTCTTCTTTTGTTCACACCACTTGCACTTCTCACTTAAATATTTGCGTAAAGTTTTTCCTTTTTCTTTCAGTTCGGGCAACTTCACCTTCCGGTGCGGACAGTGCACAATGGCCTTTCGGTCAGAGTCTGCGCTTCGATCGCACTCAATTCTACACCTTTTTGCGCCTACTCAGCGATGTTCACTATGTCAGAAAACATGCTCCAGCGATGAGGAGTTAAAAGTAAGCTTAAAGTTTTATGGGGTGGAGGGGAAGCAGAAAGATTTAAAAAATGCGGCTAACTAGTGCGCGCGTCGTAATGCCTCTATTTTCTGCAGAAGCCGTCGCTGCTTGCGCTTCTATTATTTAAAATTTGGTTTTTTTTTTCTTGCTAAAAAATCGCTTACCTCCATAGAGATGTCCTCTTTTCAGACTCACATGGAAGCGGAACATCCACAGGAAGACGAAGCGTCAAGATGTGATCTTTGCGCGGAAACATTTACATCCAGAACTGCGCTGGTTGCCCATATCAACTCGGTTCGGCATTTACACCGGGCGAAGAAGCAGCTTGAAGCGCAGGGTTCAGTGGATTTGAGTTCGCAGGTACTTTTTCTAGACAAACGCTGCTTTGTCCAACACTAATTAGCTTCAAACTTTGATGTTGATTAGTGCAATCAGCTGATTGACTGGGACAATAGCCAATAAATGACATTTGAGCAGCCTTAATTGAAATTTTAGAACTTCAAAAGAAGTTTAATATTTAACTATTTGATAAATCAAAGCTATTCTCTGTTAATCGTGTTCAATGCCTCCCCCAATAAAACCAAAAATCGCACAGGTCGATTATAGGGTACTTTTTTCCCAGTGCGCTTTGACTTTTACTATATTTATACTTTCGCTATAACTCCTTTTTTTCCAATCCTTTTGTCTAAACTGAGGCAGCTGTGCGCTTTTCATCATTTCGATGCGAATTTCGAAACTGGTTCCGGCAATAATTGCCCTCGATTGATCGCGACTTTCGATTTCCCTCATTTGAAATCGGCGGCGGTTAATGAGCAATTATCTTTGCGATCGATTTACATTTATGATAGGGAATTTGTTTGCTGTGACTTGGAAAACCAGACAGGGGACGTGACGAGGCTCCCTCCTGCAGCAAAATTGGAAACGGGAAGAAAAGGCTGGCATTTTGGCCACAGTCCAAGAACACTTCAACCCACCCCACTCTGCATGGACGATAGCTTTTTTATTTGCAAGCAGCGTGCGTATGCCGTGGTTAGGCGGAATCAGAGGCGCATGCGGCGGCGTAATTGAAATTGCCGCCCGACAGCGCGGTAGCGAGCGACGATACAGGTTCTGTAATTAATGATTTAGTTCACCCAACAGCCCCGAGAGCTCGGCTGCGTTATTACTTTCGAATTCGCATTGGGGGCCACACCGCACTCACTCACGCCGTCGACGACGACGACGAGCACTCCGACGCATCGATCGATCGCTGTCTCGTCAGCTCCCGACGACGTCTTCAGAAGACTCCCCGACTTTCTTGTCCACAACCCCATTCTCTCTGATTTGTAGGGTGTCTAGGAACTGGTTCATGGCCCAGGGATGAGCTAAAACTGTCCTCGTGTCTTTGGAGTTCAGCCAATGTGTTATATGAGATCTCTTGAAACACTATCTCAGCTATGGACTTTCAATTTTTTGACGATAAGAGGTGGTAGCGCATGTCTGGCTTATCTAAAGACTTTCAGTTTCTTTCACAGCTAAATTTGGCAGAGGTTGAAAAAGTTGCATCCCATTTAGTAACGGGGAAGTTGGGCCTCCGACTTCTCTGCTATGAAATAGGACGCCAAAACTTTTTCAAACCTCTGCCAAATTAGTTAATCAGGAGTTTTGTTTTATTCGAATGAATATGTCCACATCACAATGAAGTTCAAATCCCGATTTGTGCCGCACTTCCTAATTTTTATCCTTTCTGCCTATTCGTGTCTGCTACGCTGCCCTTTTTCGTTCCAGTGTGCGCACTAGAATAACTAATAATATGGCCACACTTTTACTCAGTCATTATCTACTTTTGGGAATCCCTATGAAGCCATGAGTTCATCTGCTGAATTGTGCAAAGCTCTATTACGTGGCCGTGGTCCGAGTTTTGAAGGGAGGGCTGCTTTATTGTGTACGGTACAGTCTTTTGATTGGCGTACGTTAGTGCTCTTGCTCGCGATCACTTCAAAGATGTTCCGCGAGCCGTAAATAGCGCGATATTTTGAACGGCATAGGGAAAATTCGGCTGAGAAAACACTCAGTCGCCCAGTCCTTTTCTCACTATTGCACTCACTTCACCTTTGTAATTTTTTTCGCTAAGCGTCAGCCCCTCTCGCGTGCTCGCAGGCTAATATCATTCATTCCGCGCGTCGAGCAGCGAGTACCGTAATCGCCTCGCACTTACTCCGCGCTCTCACTTGATCATGGGAAGTAGGAATTAATTCCGTCATGATTTCCCTTTGCGTATTATGAATGCGACGGTCGGGTCGCTAATCTCGACACCTTTTCTATTGTGTTTGGTTAGGTACGTGCACATATATGGATGCGTACATGAATGACGAAATTAATACGGACTTCCCGGTGCGATGTCTATGCCTAAACATTCGCATCTATGGTGTCATGACTAAAAGGTCGATTGCATCTTTAATTTGTTCTCTTAAGGTCTTAGCAGCGCTCCAGAATCCGTCGAGTCCTGGCGACAAAAAACCGTTTCGTTGCAACGTGTGCAAGATTGGGTACGGGCAAGGTGCTACCTTGGATATTCATTTAAGGTAAGCTTCAATCGTTTGATTTTGAAATCTCATCTTCTATTCTAGCAACTGTGAATATTTCTGCACAAATTATCATTTACTCTAGAGATCGTCCACTATTTCCTGAATCTACTATCTAACAATCGATTATCGATCTAACATCCCTTACACTAAAATCTCGCATGTTCTCTATTGATTAATAGTTGTAACATTAGTACTACTAATAGTACCATTGTTTTTCTATAGCTACCAAACCACGTTGCTTTTCTTTTTCTAATATCCCAATATGACAGCTCCTGGCCGTGTTTTTCTTGTTTGTAATACAACTGTTTTTTATACGCTCATCCTGCTTTATTTTTGAATTAGGTTTTTCACCATCACAAAAACATCATTTAATTGCTATAGTGTTGTGGTCATGTAACTCTTTGATTATTACGTTCGCACGCTAATTCACGAGTGCGAATTCGTGGGCATTTTGGCTGCAAGTCTCCTGTGAACTAGGCGCATAGTTTCCGCTAAACCCAAACCAGTTTCCGTGCAAAAATCGAAAAAAAGTTTCATAACGTCATTTTTGAAAACCGGTTTGTTGTTTTTCATATTCATGCTTTTCACCTTCTGCTTCTTCAATACTGTGTTTTCTAATCTCTCCGTTTCGGATTCATACTTTTCGTTGCCCCTTTGGCTTGTATAGATTCCGGGGACAAATCAATAAAGTGTCATTTGATTTTCAAATTCGCTTCCCATTCCGCAACTACTAATCCTAGATCGAGGTCATACTGGAATAACATCCTTAATGAGTAGTTTTGCCAGTCCACTGCGACGCAGAGTTTTCGCCAGTGGGTAAACCAAACGAAACCTTCACCCAGGAGTACAGTTTTGAACCTGTTATCTATACGATTGGAAATGTGTAACTGCATCTCATGTACTAATGATCACCATCCTTACAGATCAGTTGCCCATCAGTCGCGAATGAGCAAAATCGCAGATCTGGTCAGCGCCGGCGAGGTGGATCCATCGAAACCGGTACTGGAACAACCTGGTGGGCCGCCACAGAAAATCATCCGAGAGCTGCTAAGTCGCGATGATGAGGTGCGTTCTATCTGACTCATTGACCCTAGATGAAGCAAAATATGTGCACATGAGCTCATCATCCGTATTTGTGATCACACCGTCTCGACCCCGTCAACTGTTCTCAAGCGTTGGGCGCGTGAGAGGTGTGTTATTGTCCTAGGCTGGCACCATGAGCGTACTGTTTATTCTCATGTAAATGAGCGACCGCGAAATCAATTCCGCTCTGTAAATCCGTCTACGTAGCCGTCACCTCTCGACATTGTCTCTTCCGCGGTCATTTGGGGAGGGATTCATAGGAGTCATGGTAGATTCAAGAGTAAGGAGTTCCGTTTAAAACGATGATGATGAATACATGCATTTGAGCAACGTTGAGCAAATCGCTCCGGAAAGAGAGAGGGAATAAGGGTAAGAGTTGCACTAGTCATGACGGCACTCGTTTTGCAAGAGTTGTTTTGGTGCTGCAAAAGTTATATTGGGGCACTGCTGATGCAAAAGTTGCAGTGATGGTGCAAAAGTTGTATCAGCACTGGTGTTGCAAGAATTCTGTTGGTGTTGCAAAGTTGTGTCGGAGAGCAGGAGTTGCATTGGTATTGAGAAGTTGCATGGTGGTGCACTCGTTGTATGGTGTTGCAAGATGGTGCGGTTGCATCGATAGTGCGAGTACCATTGCAAGAGTTTCATGGATGCAAAAGTTGCATTGGGATGACAGGGGTTGTAGCGGTGTTGCAAAAGTTGCATTGGTAGTGCAAGAGTTCTATCTGGTAGTGCGAAGCACTGGTGTTGCAAGAGTTTCACTGATGGTGCAAGAATGCATCGGGAGAGTAGAAGTCGCAGCAACAGTGTATTGATGTTGCAGAAGTTGCCAGAATCTGCTTCGGCGCAAGTTGTTATGGTGTTGCAACTGTTGCTAAATTTGCTATATTGCTGCAGCAGCTGCATTGGGCAACGAAATGCATAGTGCCATAGTGATACCCACACATTAAAAAATTTGAATCCCTCCTTACCCGCTTCCACCCATCCTATGTTCCTCATAATCGAACTTGGGAAAGCTAGCATGCATCAACTTCTGCAATTTTCCTTCATTTCTTACCTTTTCATTTCCAGTGCACCAATAAGACGCTAATTTGCTCTCGTTGCAGACCTTATTACCATAGCTAATTAACTCATCAATCACCGTAGAATGCGCCATCTTCTTCCAAGTGGTTATCTCTAGCGAACGTTTTCCGTTCTGAAAAATGTTCACTTTCCATTCTCGACTATTTTCACCCAGCGCTTACGCGTATTACTGTAACTGATGGGGTAGATGTGTAGAGGAGCGTGTGCGTGTGGTGTGCGTGTGTATTCATTGCGCGCAAACGCTGGCACCAACCGCACACACTGACAATAGCCCGAACGATCATTGTTCAAACAAATCAATTAAAGGCAAGTTTGAAGGTCGACCATAATTACGGCTCTAACGTGCACGCGTCCCGCGCAACTCACGCATCACTCATACTCTTGTGTATGAGTGAGTGTGGCAAGCAGCAAGTAACATTCGTTGGGTGAAATTTACTCAAAAGCCTCAAAGGGGTAATGAATAATATCTGGTGTGATCTGCAAAAGCGCAGAAGCAAGCTCGCCGAGCTTTCTATGGGGTTTATACTTACTCAATTCATCCGCTTTAAAACAAGGCATGGCTGTTTTTAATTTGGGGAAGTGGATGAAATGAATGAGGTGGGTAACTTTGGCATCTGATTTGATGTTTAACAACCATTCAATAGAGAAGGGTTTCTGAAACATACAAGGTGTGTGTTGGCTATACCTGAAGTTCTTCAACTCCACAATCACCCAGTTTTACTTCTTACTGGGCGATGATCCCTACAAATTTAAGAACAAGTACATTTTAGCCATCGAACGCCACCCAACAACAGAATGTGATGACTATGTTCAACATTATGAATATGCTGATGGGTCAAAATACTAGTCTTCAACTGCCAACTTTCACTGCCTCACAACAGCAAAATTCAAGCGGAGGTTAGCGAGAGCATTCAGCTGATAATTTTATCAGTCATCACTCTACAAGCAATTCTAGTGAACACTCCCGAAGCTGAAGAGAACGTTTCGGCGCCCAAAAATGCGGCGGGTTTGGCTGCTATGGTGAAAGCGTTTGGTGAAGAAAGGTTGTGTGCCACATCCGCCACGATTGCGGGAAAATTGGCGCGGGTCGCAGAAGTGCCCGATGCAGTCGTTGAAGAGCTGTCGGCTGTGGAGTGTTCACAATGCGCGGAGAGGCTGCCTTCGGTTTTGGTAAGTATGGGATATAAATTGTGGCTGCTCTACCCATTTTGGGTATCTTTCAGGCTCTTTCGAGTCACTACGAAGCCGCACACTCCTCCACCATCCCCGATTCCGTCATCGAAGCCTTCGCTGAACGGTTAGCCGAGACCATTCCGGAGGCTCCAGCGACGAATGGCCATCACACTTCCCCTACTGCCAGCCAGCCCGCCAGGGACGACGGGGAACCTCCCGAGAAACGACCACGATCTGCTGCTAGCGTTGCCGGTGAGACCACCATAGTGGGAAAATTCTTGAGTCATCGAAATGCGATTTTGCTTCAGATACCCCGAAGCCCGATCTCGCCCAAATGGCTATGCTCACAATGATGGGAGGCTTCCCATTTCTGCCACCAAACCCATTGGGCGGGTTTGTGCCTGCGATGGGAGAGTTCTTCAATCCACTAGTAGCTCAGCAGGTAAAGTTATTCTAGAAAAGCTCAAAGTATTTATGGTATCTATTGTAGATGCAACAGCTGTCGTCATCTCCAGCTAAGCGAGCGCGAACGAGGATCACCGATGATCAGCTAAAAATCCTAAGGTAGAGTTTTACTGAATCATTATTATGATGAAAATTTCAATTTTTTTCCAGGCAGTACTTTGATATCAACAACAGCCCATCTGAGTCACAAATTAAGGAGATGTCGATTAAGGCAGGACTACCAGAGAAAGTGATCAAGCATTGGTTTAGGAACACGCTCTTTAAGGTATATATCAATTAAAAATTTGCTGTTCGAATCATAAGTATAGAGAAAACAAGTTTCTCTTGCCGGTGACCCCTTCAACCTAATCAATTTAGTGAGAGATTAATTAATTGAATTACCTAATTGATTCAACCTAATTAGATCAATTTATTTTCTAGGCGTAAGATTAGTTCCGTCAGATAATCTTGGTTTTGAGCAAAAAAAGTTGCTTATAGGAAACGACTTATGCTTTGACAATTTGCAGAGCAGTCAATTCTGGTTCAAAGAATTGGAGAAAAATTCTAAAAGCAGAATAAGTAAAAATTTGGTCTGCTTGTGGTCAAGGTTGCCATACAAAATATTGGTCATTACTCAAATCAAGCTGAGCACCTTCACTCAAGTTGTTTTAGCGCAAAGTGGATTTAGATGGGTAAAAAATTATCATTGCCAATTTTGAAAAGTTCTAGAGAAAATTCTTTGGGAAAATGTCCCGCTATTATTTCTATGCTCTATCTTTGCATTACCGTAATCGAGAAAATTTACAATGAACTTTACGTCGGCACGCGACACGCGAATGGTGTTATGTTGTCACATCGGGCGCATGATGAATTACCACATGGGAAACAGAACGCTCGTTCGCCCGAACTTAGGATTTTTTTACGTGGGGTACTCTTTGGGATTTTCAAGATTTTATGTAGGAATTACTGTAACTTTTTTGTGCATCAAAATGCTTTTCGTTGAAGTAAGGATCATTTCGGTACGCTATCGATGTTGAATAAAAACGTGAAAAAATATTATTTGTGTTTTTTTTTTCAGTATTTTCGCTACAGATAGAAAGTGCACATTGATTGCTTGTTCCAGGAACGACAACGCGACAAAGACTCTCCATACAACTTCAGCGTTCCACCGCAAATGGGCATCGACTTGGACACTTATGAAAAAACTGGAGAGACAAAAGTTGTACCTTTGACCGCTGAGGTAAAACATTCTTTATTTTTTGGAAACAGTGTCGTGGGAATAAAAGCAATGCGGAAATACTTGGAATTCTCAGATTCCAAGCTAAACTGGTTAGAATCCTATACATTGAACTATCTATTTGCAGCCTAAAAACGAACCATCCCCTAAGCCAGTCGAGACTCCGACGGTACCACCTCTGAACCTCCAGGCGATGATGCAGCAAATGCAACAAGCGAATCCCTTTCAGTTCATGGATCCTTCTGGGATGATTCCGGGTCCGTGAATATCATCAGCTAAAAAACTCCATACTACCATGACATTATTATTTTGCAGGACCGATGGCTCAGTTATCGCAAACCAGCAGTTCAGGACGACGGGCAAATCGAACTCGATTTACTGATTATCAGCTGAGGACGTTACAGCAGTTTTTTGACAAGCAGGTAAGCTTAGAGATTGTCCCTTACCAGAAAATTGATCGTCAAATCTCATTTAGGCATACCCGAAAGATGATGACTTGGAAGTTCTCAGTAAGAAGCTGCAGCTGAGCCCCAGGGTGATCGTTGTGTGGTTCCAAAACGCCCGGCAAAAGGTATCCAAATTGGAAATGCGTAAAAGACTGCTGTTTTCCAAACAGTGTTAGTTTCAGGCTAGAAAAATCTACGAAAATCAACCTAATCATGAAAATGCAGATCGATTCGTACGAACTCCCGGGTGTAATTTTCAGTGTAAAAGGTGAAATCTCACACAGTGGCCTATTACGAATTTGAGGAATCTGAATTTCGCAATTTGTAGGTGCAATCTTGTCTTCCAACGTTATTATGAGCTGATACAACATCAACAGAAAAAATGCTATAAAGACGATTGCTTGGCTCAAGCTAATGACAACAAGGTAATTTTAACCAAAAATCATTTGAGCGAACTCAAGAACGGTGGACTATATGGTTTAGATCGTTGAAGAATCTTTAACAGAAGAGGAAAAAGCACAACTCATACAACAAACAGCACTTGCAAGTATTACTGAGGCCAAGTCAGCCGATCTTGTGAAGCTGCTCGGGGCTAGCAAATCCAGCACTGAGGCTCTGCTGAAGCTGGTAATAACTGATTTTGAATCTTTGCAGATATTCACTTCAAATCTGCTATTTCCAGTGTGAATCCGCAAACACATCCCCGTCATCTTTCCATAAGCGATGTCCCTTTTGTGGACTACTTTTTCGTAGCAAACAATCTCTCCAGGAACATATACCAGCACGTCATCCACAGCAACATTCTGTAACTCCGCTTGATGTCGATCTGCTTCCAAATGCTGAAGATGTGAGTATAAACACATGGGTTACGGTAGCCGCAGTGCTAATTGTAAGCTGAGCAGGGCAGCTCATTTGCATGGGAAGAGAAGGGGAGAGGGCGGGGTGGGGGGGTGGGAGACGGTGGAAGGCAGCATGGATTTGAATAGTTACTTCGCCAGGAAAATCAGAGTAGTTTCAGATGTAATTTTTCTAGGTCCCAGTTCTGATTCCTCCAACGTCCACAGAAAACAAAGATCTTGCTGGAGTACTGGATCTTAGCAGCAGTGGTTCACAAGAGTTAGTCCCACAAACTTTTTCTTTTTTCGCTAAAAATCCTAAAATTTTCAGCCGAGACACCTTGTCCATCTCTCCCTTTCTTGGACAGTCAGACGACGACCCGTCTGAATATGTTGAAGAGTCATCTGGTCCGTACTCTGCTGGAATGTCCCAGTCTCGATCACCCACCAGCAATAAACGATATCGCACCCATCTGACTCCAACGCAAGTTCATGTAAGTAAGCCTTTGAAATTTTTTCACAAAAAAAACATCTGAAAATTGCGGAAATTTGTTTAGGTTATGAAGAGTGTGTTCTGTGATTATAAAACACCATCGATGACAGAATGTGAGGCGTTGGGTAGAGAGATCGGACTTCATAAACGAGTAGTGCAAGTGTGGTTTCAAAATGCTCGAGCAAAAGAGCGTAAGACACGGACGGCTTCAGGTTCAGGTAGGCTGGGCCTTACCCATGTTCTTTTTTCATAAAATCATAAGTAGCTTACTTTTTTAGGTGAAGAAGAAATCACTCGATCCGCATCGACATCATGTTCGATGTGTGGTGTAGAGTATAGCGGACGAGTAACGATGCAAGATCATCTCTTCTCTCTCCAGCACTTGGCTATTCTGAAAGCTCAACTGAGAAGTGATACCGGACATAGTGACACTCCGTCGTCGTCGGCTTTTCCAGCAGCTGAAAACGGGAGCGAAAGGCGGCCAGCATCTGCAAGGTAAGAAATACTCTATAGCATTACTCTTGTTATTTTGACTTCCATGAACTGTAAAAGTTTTTCCATCGTTTTTTGGTTTGGCCCCGAGATGTTATTAGAAAAATGCGTTTACACATAAGGACGCGTGAGAATGACTACCGTAATCTGTTCCCTCGTAGCCAAAAGAAAATTGATATTTTAAAAGTGCTTAGAAGTTCATCTTAAGTTCGATCAAACTTCCAAATTAACGTCGACTGAATCCAGCAACTTGTGCAAACTTTCATCACAAATTTTTGATTTTTCCCCTTTTAGACCCAACAAAGCTCCAACACAACCATCTCAATTAGCCAATCTCAGTCTGAACGGGTTTCCTTTCAACTTCATGAACGGAATGATGCCCGGAGGTATCTTATTATTTATATAATGTGTAAATTTTTTTGAATATAATAAATTATTAGGTCTCCCATTGGTATATGATCCAGCCGTGTTTGGGACACCTGTGGCAATGCTTCAGATTCCGGATGCTGTTAAACTACGCATCAAGTCAGATATGACTGCTGGGCTTTCATCCTCTAGGTGAGATTATATTTAAAAATTAAATTCATCTTTTCGAAAGGCGATTTTTAAGATTCACGCAAGATGGTCTCAGCATAGATGAGTTGAGGCAGAAGTTGGAACCGGCTGATGCGCAAACACTAACCCAGAAGGAGATCGAGGTAAGGTGGTGGGCGGTCAGTTTATGCACTGGGATTTCTTTCAAAAAGGGGTGCAAAAACCTTAATTTCTTGGGATGATGACATCTGACTTATTTCTCAAATTTCTACAGTATTTCATACCACAAAGGATCTTGATCTAAAAAACAGTGTTTTGTATAGGTTGGTTGGGCCTGTCCATCATGCACAAATGTTTTTCAACAAGAGGTCCTTCTCAAGAATCATCAGCGATCAGTCTGCCAAGGAACTGAATCCGTAAGTCCCTAGCTTTTGGAAACTTTCCCAACACCGTTTATCACTAATTTGTTCTATTTTAAGGTATTTACCCTGGTGCAAATCCACTACGAGTGTAATTGTTGTTCCATGAAAGTTGGGACACAAGCCGAATATTGCGCACATTGTGAAACAGCCGAACATCGTTCTGCTCTTCAAACATCCACCACAACCGGTAGCTCAACTACAGCCCAATAGTTTTGAGTTACAAATCGTCTCTAAGCACTTCTTTCCTCTTTTGTCCCCAAAAGCACGTCTCATCATTCTTCTCTCTGCAGCAAGCTACTTACGATATTTTCTTTCTTTCTCTCAGCAGCTTATGCTATTCTCCAAGAGGACTTATGCGATATAATGATTTCTTGTTCTTTTTGAATTTCGTACACGGATTATCTCTCGATTGTTGCCAGATCGATTTTGCCACCTTCATATGTGTTTTTTCTTCATATTTTTTTTCCTTATTAAGTCCAGAAAATCTGTGATCAGATCTCTTATTTTGCGATGCGCCGTCGCCGTCACATTGTCATAAGAATGTGAAAGTGCGGTTCAAACTGCAGTTCTGAATGGTTTTCAGAGCCGAGAATTGGATCGCACTATGTGCGCTTCTTTTTTGTCGTTTTTAACTCACCTTATTACTTTACACTTATTCACATTATGTCCACTAGCAATAACTAGCATGCCTTGTCTCCCGAAAAGAATCGTTGTATGTGATTTTGAATGATAGTCGTTATATATATGATTTAATTTTTTTCTCCTTCTCAAAATCATAGCTCTTTGTTATTCAATGATGTTCGATGATAGAATTTATCTTCTTGTGAGAGGGAACCCCGAAGTTTTTCGTATCCCCCCGGTTATAAGTTTGTGATGTGTGTCTCACCCCCGTATTCTTCGAACAGCAATTTCTACATCCCCAGGGGTAGGACTCTTTATCATTTAATATATATACTTTAATTAGGCTTTACCCTTAAAGCTATTACGTACCTTAGCATCTCTGATGTTTTGATCGTCATGTTGATAGACGTTTTTGTTTATAAAAATGGCTAATAGTTTACATCATCGGATTGTTGAGGCTGTTGAGACAGCAGTATCGGAAAAGAATGGAATTTTTTAGTAGAATTTGTCAACAAATTTTAGAACGAAGATTATTTGTAAATATCTCGGAAACAACCATAAAAAACTGGGCAATATGCCTAATCTTGCCCAACAAGCAAAGATCATTATTTAAAGATATGTATTGTACAAGGTTTGATGGATGATGTAGTGCTTCTGCGGTGTTGGCAACACATGCGCGGGAGAGATTGCTGTGTTTGCAGTGCCACAATGTGCGCGTAAGAAATAGTCCTCAATACAAGATCTACATATTTTAGGCTCCCTGACCATTTTTAGGCGCAAATTCTGTCGCCGCGTTCTATCTTGCCCGGAAATAGAATATACAAGATTTCGTAGGAGTCAAGATAGACAAGGATGTGGTCTACCGGGCCCGACATTTACAATCTGTCTCAAGTAAAGCGGCTTGAACGTAGGCTACGCATGCGCGTCGCACGTGCAACAAAGTCTGTTCAAAAGCACATGTTATTTCAGGATAAGGTTTAAGTTCAAAATAAATGCAACTAGAGCGAATATCAACTGCAGACTTGTAAGGTACCATTAATGCTAAACGATCTTCTACAAATAGCTCGAAGTAGCCACAAGCGAGCGAAAAAGAATTTCAATATTTCCTGCAGGGCCAAAACGCGTAAGGAATCGATAGAAAAGGTGATATTATTATCCCGTTGAACTAAAAATAACCAAAACTTATGAACATAGAAAGGTCAAGTGGGCCACAATGATAACAATGATAATGTTCAATGACTACGTACGAATAAATGTAAATGGCAATGGAAATGCGCATCTCTTTGAATCGGGAACAAGCCAAAAATAATGGGATTTGCGCTCCTGCTTCGTAGCTTTTGCGCCCTTGTTGAACTGAGCTTGCGTTAGCTTAATGTGAAAAAAAAAAACAGATTTTGATGCAGGGTATTGTACCCGTCTTTTTTCACGTTTGCGTTCGCGCGTTGCAGTCGTGATCATCTGTTCATACTCGAGCACAGCGTCTGCACAGTTTCGGCGCGGCATTGGGTGTGGATGTGTGCATTAACGAACACAAGGAAATGTTCAGAAATCGAAGTGACCAATCCAAGCAAGCTGCACACCATTAGATGTAGTGTAAAACACTGAGTCTAAATCGATCTTTCTTATCTGCTGAACACTTCTGTGGATTAATAAGCCATCAAAGGTCATTTGTTTGCTAAGAAATAGTGCGTAGAACAAATTTGCCCGTACAGGACCATGATCGGCTCAGTGTTGAAGCAAAACATTCAGCTAGCTTAGTTCAAATGGCCCATATATGAAGGTGAGCTAAAAGGGCAATCATAAGCTTAATTTCGCAATTTCTATGTACAATTTTTTTGCAGTGAAACTGCTAATCAGTGTGCCTACAAAGGCGTTCAGCAGATACGGAAGACAGATTCAAAGTCAGCGTTCTATGCTGCATCGAATGGTATGCAGCTTGATTGGATTGTTCACTTCGACTTCTGACTATTCCTTTGTAAGGGGAATATTCCCATCCTTTCTCGCTGTTTTTCTGTTGTTTCACAAGTCGCTTAATTTTGTACCACCTTTCCTCCTAGCAGGCCAAGACCAACATTAACGAAAATCGAAAATACGGCTGACTTATAAGGATGATGCATAGAAGTTACTCTTTTTGCTTTTTTACAGCTCAAAAAGACTACCACTTCATCCGTGATTCGTATCTTCTGAAATGGTAGACACTTCGAAAGAACTCAAAATATGTCGGGTTTGCCTGGGGTTAAGGCGTTGCTCAAAATAACATCCTTTATTTCTTGGTATACGGTGAATTCACGGTAGTTATGTGCAGCACAACATCATGTATTTTCAAAGAAACTGAATGTCAAGGTGACTAACACAATTTTAATCAGCATGCCATAGACTCTTTTTATGTACGACTTGAGCATTCTGGAATGAACAACATTGGATGGACTAGCGTGAATCGTTCCTCTCCCCCTATCCTTTGCGCATATGCGTTGAATTTCCAGAAAAGCGTCATTCCCTAAATTTAGGTTAAAGTTTGTGCGTGCTTCCTCTAGATATTATATACACAATGAAATCGCTAAACCCTAGACCTCGTCCATACTTCTGCAACCGATCGTTTGCCTGAGGAACTCAAGGAAATGTATGAATAGCCTCTTTGTAGCTATGTACTTACTTGGATCAAGTTTCTCAAAGGCACCGTCCATCCTGAATCAAGAGTCCTACAAGGGAAAGTCACGAAGTCGAAATGGCCTACCATAAACAGCATATCATTAGTTAGAGCTTGAAGCGCTGATTCCAAATGTGCTCTTCCTTTCTGCAGAGCGCCTTTATGAGAGAAGTTATGAGCATCATTTTGAAATGAGAAAATGAACTAATGGTCGGGATAAAAACAATCGCCACAGCCTGTCTAAAGCTTAATGAAGCAGCGGCTAATTTCTTGATGCTTCATATAATAAACTACTTCTGCCCAGTGTATCAGTATACTTTCTATTCTCTATTTTACGTCTGGATAGTCTGTAACGACTAATTTTATCGCGGCCATCTGTTAATTTTATTCGCCCCAAAAAAGGTCATAACTCTTGTCACAAAGGAGCTCTACAAATGAGGAAAGCAGATTTAGAATCAGCGTTTCAAGCTCTCACTAATACTATGCAGCTTATGGCTATCCGCACTTCGAATACGTGACCCTCCTTTGTAGCTTCTGACATTATATTAGGGTGATTCTCAAAAAATGGGGCACCCAGAGAATAAATGTAGATTTCTCAAAAAAGAAAAGTGATTAAACTTCCCAAATTTGACAGATGTTGGAATAAATTGTTCTCTTTCAGAAAATACCTATACAAGGTCGTTTACGTACCCTACTTATTTTTATAGTGGCTAAAATGCAACGTTAGTCACTTTGACAAATTTTAAACTTCGGGCAGTATCTGCGAAGTGAAACATGCGAAACCATCCAAAGTACTACTGCTGCAATGCGTGAAGGTACAGTCACCAGACCCACGATGGGTTGCTGGCCTCAATTTTCAAATTCAGGAGATATGGCCATTAGCAGCTTTGAAAACAAAGATACGTGCTATTCAATTCTTTGCAGGTGAAGTCATGTTTTATAGGGGGAGACGGTCAAGAGGCGCGATTTTTTTGGCTGTCACCAACTTAAAACTCCAGTTTCGGGCTATGGGAGGGTCCAAAAAGTGCCGGGCAAACTCCATGGCTTACTAGGTGTTTGAAGCAACCACTTGATAAATTTGACGACTTCTGATAGAAAAGTAACCGGATTATTTACAAAACTGCTACTAACTGCATTTTCAAGGGTTTTTGACCTTCAACAATTTTGTTTGGAATCGACTTCAAGATGATGAGATGGAGCAACCCGTGCAATTATCAAAAATATCTCGTTGACATTTCAAGTGATTCTAGAACTTCTTAAAACACTAAATATGTGCTATAAGCTGCCCATCTGGCAATAAGAATCGCGCCTCTTGACATACACCCTTTTATAGGTACCATCTGAAAGAGCTTTTTACGCTCTATCCATCTATATGCAGCTTACCTCACATTTTATTTATCTTCGGAAAATATAGATTGAAACTTGATTTATTGGTTTTTGTTGCGCCAAAAAACCGCGATTTTCAGATATTTCGCTTTTTTTTACCCACAAATAGAAAGAAATCCTGTATGTTTAATATGGTGTTTGAAAGAGCATGAAGAGCTCTTTCGAATGATATGTGAATTGCTCTATACTTTACGGTATGGCAGCGCAAAAATGCGCGATGTTCAAAAAACCCTGTTCGAGTTCTTCAGGGCGCCACGCGTAGCGTTGTGGGAGAGGAGCATTGACGCTTCGCCAGAATAATAGGCGAAGGTCGCTTATATAAGCGACGTTTACGTTGCAGCCTGCTTGTTGTTGATCGAAACATAAAATCTCAAAATTTAGTAAAAATCAAGCTGCCCCATTTTTTACCGATCACCCTAATACGATAGTAGTGCTCCTATCAAGCCAATGCCCAAGTTGCGGCTCGAATGTCGCTTTCGACCGTACCTGCCCAACCAAGCACCGTTCACCCTCGACAACCCCTCTGCAAAACCGGGACCTGTGGGGGTTTTTGGGGATTCTCGACTTCATACTGAAAATTAGGGACATGATAAGACTTCAGAACGACAAAAACATGGAGGCGAAAATCTGTGTGGAATGGTGCCTTCAAAACAGGGTCCGTGCAAAAAGTCGATTTCGAGATTTTGTGCTTACCCGGGCCTATTCGCTATACTGAATCACGCTGGAGAGCGCGAAAACGGCGAAAAAGGGCTCCAACGCAGGAAGGAAATCGAGAGTGGGCGGGGTCTTCCCCACTGTGACTTCACGGTTCCGGCTTCCGGAGCGATCTTCTTAATGCTTGCCGCCCTGACATCTCCACAAGCCGAGTGCGAATGCGTGACTTAAAATCGGTGAGAATATCGCTCCGGGAGCTGGGACCGTGATTTCATATTGGGGAAAACCTCGCCTACCTGCTAATTTCCCCCTGCGTTAGAGCCCCCTTTTGTCGTTTTCGCCCTCTCCAGTGTGGATTTTCGGATTCAGCATAGCGAATAGGCGGGTAAGCACAAAATCTTAAAATCGTTTGCCCGGGCACTGCCTTTAGTGGACTGCATCCTGAGGCGAGATTCAACTTATTGTTAGCCTACTGATGAGGATTCACCTGTGGTAATAAACAGTCTCAGCATCACTTCATTGCAGATCATTACACATCATCAACAAAAACAAAGATCATTTTAACAAAATACATAACATTTACTACTATTCGGAGTGCACAAAATTATTGCATGATAGGCGCAACGACACTATTAGCGGTGCCGCATGAGTTCTGGCCTCTTGCCAGTCTGAAGTAGCCATTTTGACCCCATCGCGTACCCCACGAGTTCTTGACGAGCCAGTAAGGTTGTTGTCCTTCAGTGCCGTATCCTACGATGGTCAGAGCGTGAGATCCAAGGGAATGCTCCTAAAATTAATCTAAATTATTTCTTGAAAACATGAAACAAGTCACTCTTATGCGGGTGTACCTCACAATCTTCTTGCGTTGGTGCAAAAATGCCGCTACGGTAGCTATAGAGGGCTTTTGTAACGTTCATGCCTGGAATATGATATATTTAACTTCTGTTTCACTAGGTGTGACGGGGAATCGTGCGGCTGAGGTCCTGTACGGCCGCCTCGCCTGAACTCTGCAACTTTTTCGCGCGCCTGCTCATCAGTCATTTCCCCACGCTCAATTAGCGACTGAAGCTCGGCGCTCAGACGTGAGAAGATGACCAGAGAGCATGCTCACGAAAGAAGCGCAGAGTCCAGGCGAGGCGGTCGCACTCGACCCGAGCCGCACGAGCTTCCACCACTTCTAATGAAATAGGAGGTTCACGCTGCGACACTATTTACAAATTACTTACTAAACGTAGCTGGCCCATTAGTGGACACCCAATCTGCTATGACTTCTTCATTTCGAGAAAGAATTCTATAACTTTTGATGAAGATACGGCCCTGAAACCATTTTCCTGAAATTAGATTAGCAAGACTATAATTTGCGCATACCGTGGAGTTACTCGTACGACAAGTGTTGTGATCGGTACCAGTATACGGATACTCTTGTTCCTTCGATAGCCCATGCTCCTTCACAAAGCTTAGAACACATATTAAACGTGGTGCACATGATTTCTTTCTTACAACTTTCAAAACCAAATCCGCGTAAAAAAGTCCAGGACAAAGATGTTTGCCCATGAAACAAATTAAACGAGTAAGTGTTGACAGCCTTGATGACAAAAGTGCTCTAATGTCACGTTCGCACCCGCTTTGCAGATCGATCTACCCGCCCAAAGACTAGAGTATATCTCTTTCACTGCGTATTTGTGAGAACACGTCAGCTAAGCAGCCACACTCCTGTTTGCAGACTACTAGGTCAAAAGCATGTTTTTACGATTGCAGATCTAACAATTGCCATGCAACATTGTCTATAGATCCTCAGCAGTTGTATTGACAACAATCCACCGCATGCACAGATAGAGCACTTCTACGGGTACGTTGTACTCTTCTCCATCAAAGATCAACACAAAGTCAAGCTGTTGATTGCAATCCCATCCCTATGTTGTTAGTTGTTGTCAAACGGGAATAACAACATTATCAAGTGGCACAAAAACCCGGCTGTCGTTAAAGACAGTGTCCGGACAAGAACTGATTCCGAAATTCGCTATGCTCAATCCGAAAATCCACTCTGAAGAGCCTGTATACGGCGGCTAGCAAAAGCGAGAAAAGCGCTCCGGAAGCTGGGAGCTTGATTCCACGGAGTAAAAGACCCCGCCCACCTGCTGCTTCCCCTCCTGTGATAGAGCCCTTTTTCTCCGTTTTCGCGCTCTTCAGTGTGGATTTTCGGATTCAGTATAGCGGAAAGGCCTAGGTAAGCAAAGAATTTTAGAATCGACTTTTTGCCCGGACACGCATTTGAACTCACAGTAGCGCTGGTAAAGCACAAAAGAAGGACTTCCATAAACGCGGTACTAGTCTTCAATAATCAAAATCAAAGCACCTGTTGCTGAAGCAAAAACAGATAAGCTGGAGCAAAGTTCAAACTGAGATCATGGAGCTGATCATTCTCTGGTAGGCGGCATACTTACCCGGTTCATCTCATTCGCTATTGATCAGTTGAGTAATTTGAACAATAGCGAATGAATAAACCAGACGAACCGGTTGGATCGAGTAAGTCTGGCGCCGGCCTCTCTTAAAACTTCACAGTACAAGCTATCAAATTCCACTCGTATCACTCCAAATAACAAATCACTGGAATCATCTCATTCGCCAATTTCAAAGTCAGAATCTTCCTTTAGCAGAGAACCAACAACTCCCACGCCGCTTCGTTTTGCCGTGTCCCGAAAGCGATGCCATGAATCAAAAAACTATAGAACTCAGAGTTACTTAGGCCTACAAAAATGGGCAGACGGCAGAATGGGCACTGAAGAACCTACCTCATAGCGTAAGGTCTGTAGCCACCAGTACATCCGTTATTTCTGACATCACAATCCACCAACTCCTGCTCACTCAAGCTCACCAGTTGGCCGGTTTTGATGGCATGTGCGGTTTCTACAGCAGCAACTGTTGCAAAAGCCCAGCAAGAGCCGCACTGTCCTAAATGCAGAAAACTTCTTTTTGGGAGGAGACGAGTAAAGGATAGAAGAGTTGAACATTAAGCACGCTTAAAAGCCTCCTCCACTCATACCAGGTATTGTACTCTCCCGAAGAGGCGTAAAAGTTGTGGAAATCTTTCAGGCCAAGAAAATCTGATAATTACCTTGGTCCTTCACAGGAGTGACTTTTCCTGAACTCATCCAATCAATTGTTACTGGTCTGTTGGCCATATTTAGTGGCACGCTCTCTTCTTTGGGCAGTAGCACGTCACTCATCACTTCTGGCAAGTCGCGAGAGAGGAGCTAAATATAAGAGTCAACAGTTAGGTGTACAGCTGAGATGCACAAATCTGGTAGTCGCACTTTCTGGATTATCAGCGTAGCCAGAACCAAAAAAGTACAACTTTCGTTCGACTTATTCCAATGGAAAAAATGAAGTTATCTACAAAACTTATTCAAGTGTTTTGCCAACCTTCCGCATTTCTTCCTCTGTCCAATCTGCAAATCTGGTGACATCGAGGTCCACGCCTGGATGTTTCCTCTCCTCCTCTTCGAAGAACTGCACATTTTCCACAAATACAGCAAAGCGATAGCATCTCTCTTTCTTATCGGTGTAGTTTCGGTTGTAGCTGAAATGCAAAGCTAATCACGTGTTAAATGGAGGATTGAAGCTACCTTTTGATGAATTCCTCAAACATTGACGTGTATCTTTCAACATCTTTCACTGCTTTCGATAAAGCATAGTCCACATCTTCATCCTAAACAAGGTTTTGATTCGGTATTCTTAGATTCCGAAAACCGAAGTCTATAAACGTCATAATTGTGGAGGTGGCGGCACCTTAGATATAGGCGATTCATCGCGCGCACAAAGTGGACGTCGTTGCGTCCGACTAAGATAGTTTGGGCATGCGAGAGACAGCAGACAGCGAAAATAGAAAAAGCGTGCAACCATCGAGACACCGACGCATCCGTAGTTACGTCCTGTCTCTGCGTGCGATGAAGTCGCCTATATATTTTATCATCTGTCTGTTTCTTAGTGCGAACTTCAGGGTTCTTGATTCTTGCTTGTTTGTGTCTATTATTTGGTGTACCCTGAGTGCAAAATAAAACAAAAAATAAAATGGAGGTAGTGGTTCTGCAGAGACGTTCCGTGACTCAGACATTGCACAACGTCACGGACAATGCAGCGGCGAGCTGTCAATACGCTCAAAGCCTGAGCGGACGCAAGGTTCGTAATTTGTGTTGTAAAACATTTATCATGATTCGATAGACATAACAGCTTGTTTTGGTTCCAACTATATACTACTACCCATTGAAGTCGCTGTATGCACAATGCTCACCTTCTTGTCAAAGTATACGACAATCCCCAAGATTAGGAAGATGATAAGAGCCACAAGAATACACTGCGTCAAGACGGCTACAACCTTCGCTAGCTGCAGAAGAAATCCTGATCTGTAAAGAAAGAAGCATGTTGTAGCTGTAATAATCAAGCTGAATTCAAAATATGACCCACTTATTTCTGTCCGGATCGTCCTCGCTTTGAGATCTCTCTAAAGGCTCGAAGTCAAAGTGGGTAGATTTATTCGTCAGCTTCGGCCACATAGCGAATCAGGACGAGGTGCAGGGCGAAGAACAGCGCCTAAAAATGATAAGATAACCGAAAAAGCGACACTGAACAATGATGCATAGCGATTATGCATATGTTGAGAAAGTGCTAGAAGTTTTGAACTTACAAGTAAGCTCCTGAAATCAAAAATTCGGGATCATAAAAAAGAACACCGTAGATGATTTCGGAAGTTGTTTTCGGAACCTAACTTCTGGAGATTTTGCTACCTTCGGAGCAAATAATATGCAAAAACTTCAGGGCGAGTGTAAAGCCATGCACGGCTAAACTCAAAACAGCGTCCAGCATATCTTTCATGGAGGTTTCCCAAAAAATTAGAGTGCGCCCCAACTAAGACACTGTCCAAATGGCAGCGCAGATGATTTACAGCTGAGAATATTTGGAAACCTGTCTCCTACACCTATTTAACGGCCGACTTTCTGGATGAATCATTTGCTGCCTTTTGCACCACTGTCTTAGTCAAGACCCCAAAATCGGTTCTCAAGTGAGAATCCGTCGTGCCAAATTCGCTGGACGATGCGTTTAACCTGTGATCGTATGAATTCGATCGTATGCGGTTTGAACCATGCAGAAAACAGGTACTACAGCTCGAAGAAAAATGCAGCATTAAAATGGCTGCTATGGTAGGTGCCAGAGTAAGCGAATATTTTGTTCAGCTGCAAAAGGCGCACAGAATTAACGTTAATTCTGCGCGGGATCTGCAGCTGCAGCAGGCCCAGACATTGTGCAGCAGACATTAATTCTGCGCGCCTTTTGCAGCTGAACAAAATATTCGCTTACTCTGGCACCTACCTACACAAATATTTTGTTCAGCTGCAAAAGGCGCGCAGATTAATGTCTGCTGCATAATATCTCCTGCTGCTAAGGCCTGCTTCAGCTGCGGGTCCCGCGCAGAAATGACGTTGATTCAGTGCAGCGAATATTCTGTTCAGTGCTCTCGCAGCTGAACAGAATATTCGCTTAGTCTGGCACCTATCGTCTGCGCCCCAGAGAGGTTCCCATAGGTACCACGTCATCTCGCTGCCTTTCGCACTTTTGAACGTGTTAACCTCGGGCACTTCCTTTGAAATCTCAGGAGAAACACGTCAAAAAGAGCAAAAGGCAGCGTCGCACCACGTACGCACGCTGGTTCACATGGGAACCTCTCTGGGGCGCAGACGGTACCTATATAGTCAAATGACGCCGCAACATAGTCCCGGCGTGATTTGGCGGAGTCGTGTGCTGACGCGCTAGCACTGCAGACGTATCAGGATCAGTAGGCGAATGATCAGTTGGCATCCTTTGCTCAGTAGATTCAGCAAAATCTTCATTTCAGGATGCAAACACAAAGGGAAACATCTTGAGGGCCAAGCATGCATCACGCGATTTCATCGCCTTGTGACACGTATAGCTGATTCATCGCACGTAAAGTTAGGTCCGGCCATACTATTTCAGGAGGTGGTTCCTGTGATTCCTGTAATTCCTTCGATTCGTGTGATTTCTCGACTTCCGATGTGTCGCACTATGGTGCGCTTTGCGAATTTCAGTATACATTGTTTCTTCCCCATATACATTGTTGCGGGATCCGCAGGAATCACAGGAATCGCAGAAATTGCAGGAATCACAGCAATAGTATGGCCGGTCCCTTAGCAAACGTAAAGGCGTTGCTCTGATCAAGCGCTCTTTCGTTCCTCTTACCATCTGCTGTCTCTCCCATGCACGAGCTTTCTTGATCGGATGCAACGACGCCCAGACTTTGCGTGTTATGAATCGCCGACTCAGACACTTTTTCCGACGACCCGCGCGGGTTCATGGGCCTACCATGCAAGCGGCGCGCCTAAATTTGTGGGCGTGGCACCGTTTCCGACGGGCGGCGGACCATCGAAACCTGCCGTGCGAGCGGCGTGCTTTGCTTACGACGGGTGGCGCGCCATCTTGAGTAACCGTGCGGACGGCGCCCTACATCGCGAACGTGTTAAGACTCGCACTAAACAAGACCTTTGTGTTTAAAGCATCATTTTGAATTCATCGTTGGCTGTGGGAGGTTGTCTGTATGAATCGCATCTCGTTTGTCCGTTCTGACGATTTGATGCTTCTATTCTTCAGATTTGTGAGTTTCTTTTGATTCGTATCTCATTTACAACGCGTCCCTGTGCGCAGGGTGGGAGGAGAGATCCATTTGAAGCACAGTCGAAGAGAGTCTTAAGAAATTGTAAACAGATTTCTTTTTTAAACTATTTGCTTCAGGACTTTTTCAGGAGTGATGTAATGGAACGTTTCCTGGTAAAGATATCGGGCACAGGCAGGAGGAGTTAAATCATTATAGGCAATTTGGACTTGGATGAATTCTTGTGAGTGGGTAAAATAGAGTCCGCAAAAGTCAAGTAATTGCGTTTCAGGTACAGGAATCTGGGAGAAAGCGAAGAACAAGGAAGCGAAGCCCTGACGTAGCCAAAGACAACGTCAAGATTGGCGACCACAACTACTCACTTCCTTTAAACGGCTATGTATCAAAGATGGTTGAAAATATCATATCGAATGACGCTTTTGGCGAGATATACGCTCCTACGGTTACGAATAAGGAAAATGGATAGCTAATAAGGTGAGAATTTTTGCATACTTAGGCATGAATAATGATTTGACATTTCTTTCAGCGCCTGCGTTTTCGATAGAGTGCCAAGCGTAAGAAATATTGGTGTCATTCTATTTATTGTTTGTAAAGTTCTTTTGCTTTCAGATTCTGCGTTATGTCTTTCTTGTAAATGTTTCGATATAAATTCTGTCATCATGATATTTGTATACATGTTTGACAATAAATCTAACACTAGAATGTCGTGTTTTACTGAGAAGATGTGAATTTTACCATCAAATTGTTATGTGTGTCACATTAAGGCCGTACAACGCCTTTTGAAAGCGGGTGAGCGGCGCGCCTTTAGGGTTCCTTCATACTACGCCGCGTACGCCGCTGCAGCGCAATGGAAATATGCTAACGGCAGCAGAGCTCCACTTTTTTTTATGTATCTCTACATTTGCTGCACATTCGTGTCCCTCAATAGTGTTCTTTCACGCATTTCTTCCTCTCTTTTGCTTTGTTTATCCTGTCTATCCTTTGTCTATATCAATGACTAGCTGGCTTACCCGGCTCCGCCGTATCCGGACCAAACTTGGCACACATACACTTCGGGCCCCGGCGGGTGTCACAGTCCACTTTTCGTTATCGATCGATGTCGATTTTACCGATTTTTATCGATTTTTTGCAGAGTTCACCTACAGGGCTAGGAGTTGGCACAGGGGGGGGGAGTGAGCATGGGGATTCCGAATACAATATTAGTTTTCAGAATTATCGATTACTTTTATTGATTTTATCGACTTTTTGTAAATTTTGACATGCGAGGCTGGGATTTTGCACAGGGGGGTAATCGAGCATGCTGATTACGAACACAATATTAGTTTTCAGGATCGTCCATTACTTTTATCGAGTTTATCGATTTTTTTTGTAAAGTTTGACCTGCGGGGCTGGGAGTTTGCACAGGGGGTAATCGAGCATGCAGATTAGAATACAATATTAGTTTTCAAGATCGTCCATTATTTTTATCGATTTTATCGATTTTTTGAAAATTTGAGCTAGGGGGCTGGGATTTGGCACAGGGGTGTAATCGAGCATGCTGATCACCCCCCTTGGGGATGATCAGCATGCTCGATTACCCCCCTGTGCCAACTCCCAGCCCCGTAGCTCAAACTTTGCAAAAAGATCGATAAAATCGATAAAAGTAATCGATAATCCTGAAAACCAATATTGTATTTGAATCCCCATGCTCGATTACCCCCTGTGCCAACTCCCAGCCCCGTAGGTGAATTCAGCAAAAAAATCGATAAAAATCGATAAAATCGATATCGATCGATGACGAAAAGTAGCCTGTGACATCCGCCGGGGCCCGTAGCGTATGTGTGCCAAGTTTGGTCCGGATCGGTTCAGAAATGGAATTTTCTATTCGGAACATACGTACAGACAGACATACATACAGACAGACATACATACAAACAGACATTCAGCTTTATATGTAAGAATTGATGGAATGACTTAGCTTGTTGTGCTCCCTCTACTTTTGAGTTTCACATTTTGTATCGTAACTGACTGCACATTGCGTCATCTAGTTGTATATTGGTAGTATATGGTTGTATGGTTGTATGTTTCTGGTTGTATATTTGCGCTGTTAACATCTCCTTACAAACACATCACTGGATGAAAAGGATTTCTCTTATTCATGCTGTTAGACTGCAATTGTAAATTTGATGCGCCGTTGTTGCCGCAGTTTGATTTCTTCGCTAACATCTTTCAAGTTTCGGCGCTGACTTCAGCTACATTATACAGCTACGTCATAGCGCTTCATTATACATAAAAAAAGTGGAGATCTGCTGCTGTTTCCATTGCGCTGCAGCGGCGTAGGCGGCGTGGGCGGCGTAGTATGAAGCTACCCTCAGCGAGCGAGCCGCGTATCTTCATCCCACGGGCGGCGGGAGGTATGAGCGCTCACACAGTGAAGGCGCGCGCGCCGTCGGAAAAAGTGTCTGAGGATAGTCTCGATTAGACGTGTTGCAAAACTACCACAACCGAAATGCAAGATGATTGGCATGCAATGGAGTCGTAACATTTGTCTTGTAGGGAGAATCGCGAGACGATGAAATTGGTATCGGCCATACTAGTACTGTGATTCCTGCAATTCCTGTGATTCCTACGGGTCCCACAACAATGTATATTGCAAAAAAGCAATGTATACTGCAGTTCGCAAAGCGCTCCATAGAGCGGCACTTTGGAAATCGAGGAACACAGGAATTGCAGGAATGAATTACAGAATCTCAGGAATCACCTCTTGGAATAGTATGGCCGGTCTCATCGCGTGTGTATGCCCGGCGCTTTTGGACAGAGAAAGTTCTCGATAAAACATGTCGACGCAAACTTGTCAGTTTGTGTTAGCGCAAGGAAGACACTTCCTGTAGGAAATAACGACTATTCTAAAACATGTTAAACTAGTACTTGGTCAATTTTGCACGTGTCAAGACACTTTTTATGGGAAACTTGGAAAAGCAAGTGAAAAAAACGAGCTGAGTCCTATCATAGTGGGAGCCGGTAAGAAATTGCTATATAGCACAGCAACTCGCTTTTCCTTTCTCCCAGATCTCAGCATAACTTGGCTTGAAACTTATCACTAATTCAATTTAATTCCTTTACTTTGGGTTATGTGTTGCACGTGCTCAATCTTTGTAGTATCCTATTGAGGAAACCCGTAAATCACTAGTTTTTTGCAGCGATAAAATTTTGGAATTGATCTGGGATTATATTGCCGATTATGGGACGGAAATTTGCTCCCAATCTGAGTCTATAAAAGCACATGCGCTGCAACTTAACTTTAAATTCGGAAGCTCCTAAAGTAATCTTCCTTTGCATCGGCTAGTGTCCACTTTTATCCGGCTGTGACTCCTCCTTTCGTCATCCAACGAGTCCCATTTGCTGATTTGGACCTGCCGTAAGTTTTTGAATAAAGAAGCTCAACAACTGAGACGCGTTCCTTGCTGGGCGCGCTCCATTAGTGCGCTGTGCGCCGATGCAAATGTCCGCGAACTCTCATTTTTCAAATATCTTTCTGCTTGATTTTTTATTCCAATAAAGATTCCTTTCCCTTTTCTTGCACCAGTCATTGTTATCCAGTGCTTTCTTCTTGAAACACATACTGTTATCACTTGACCTGATCAAATTCTTCTTTATTACCTTTCATGTCGAATGAGTTAGCTGTCTGTTATTGCTTCCAGTTTCAGAAATGGCTTCGAACGAAGCCGAAGTTGTTGCAGATTTCTATGACATAGATTCGCTGCTGTCAAGATCAGCTAGAGTAGCTTGCATTTATGCAGATGGCACTCCTAGAGGTATTGCAAGAGTCTCGGCACTGACAAGTGCATGCTTTGTTGATTTCACATATGTCATGTTTCGTTTTAGATATTTACGATATGCTCGGTACGACTGCTCCACATTTCACAGATGAGAAGGGATACAAAGTTTTTACGCCATTCTGGTTCGTGCGCCCATTGGAACAGAAGGGATTCTGCAGTGTAAGCTAAGCCTCCAAGGTTCTTTTTGTTTTCTTCTTTCTATGTATTAGCTGATTTTTCGGCAGTTTATCCACGTTCCTTTATCATAAAGAACCTTGGATATACTGCATCTTGGAATTTGCTTCGAACTGGGATTCTGAATTCAAAATTTGTCTTTCTGGGCTGAGTGACCGTACTCATCTACGAATCTCATGGTTGGTATCTATTCCAAGAGGCTACTTCGAGATAGATGTAATCATTGAGACTCGTTGTCGTCGAGTAAGTAGGCATATGCAGCGAATTCACCTCAAGGCGTTCTCACCTTGATTTGTGATGAATACGGCCGCAGGAGTGATAGAAAAGCTTAGGTTGATAATCAGTCGATACTGCCTTAGGACTGTGTTTAAAGGCAGTGGGTCGGCAGAATGAGACCCGTGGCAAAACAAGGTCACAAGGTAGGAGCCCCATAATGGAACCTATGGGTCAAAGTTCGATCTTTTTCTGCCACTTCTAACCCCCGAAATTTCAAAGCGAAAGCAGCTCTCATCTCCTGTCCTCTCCGAACCCGCCCACTCCATGGACGAGTGAACGCGAAGCCCGTCATGGCGAAGACGCAGAGTCGTTGCGGGACCTCATGCTTATAGCATTGCGGCTGGCGCTCTGACCGCGGAAGTCACTCGTCCATGGGATGGGCGGGTTCGGAGAAGACAGGAGATGAGCGGTGCTTTCGCTTTGAAATTTCGGGGGTTAGAAGTGGCAGAGAAAGATCGAACTTTGGCCCATAGGTTCCATTATGGGGCTCCTACCCTGTGACCTTGTTTTGCCGCGGGTCTCATTCTGCCGACCTACTGCCAGAGGTGCGATGGGGGGAGCCGGGCCCACCAAAAGTGAAGGTGATCCCAGCTACCACTGGTCGGCCAAAAGTGAAGGTGGTAGTGCCGGACACTCACCTCCCAAAACGTCGACCGGGGGGGGGGGGGGAGCATTAACGTCTATCCTTCCAGGTCACTGCCGTTAGTGCGCGGAAAATAAGCAAAACAAATGCAAAAGTGATCATTGAAAGCATATTTTTATGTATACAGCGTCATAAATATCTAAAGTAAACGTGCCTATCAAATAGTGTATTTGGAAGTAAAACTCAGCGGAACTGTACGTATTTTATTAATTAAATTTTGTTATAATGTACAGCGAAGAAACTAGGTCGATCCAGGCAGTAACCGCCGAGAACCAGAATTTAGAATGATAAAATAATGAAAAATCGTGAAAAATCATTCCACTGTTACAAATCTGCTGGCTGAAGACCTCCGCAGTTGCGACTTCATAGGTTTTGAAGGGTAAGTGTTGTTTTACCAGGCAGTGAAAGAATCAGTTTGATTTGAGGAGTGGCCGCCGAGAACGAGAATTTTGAAAAACCTTAGAAATCTTCTCAAGTTTAGGTTGCTTAATGACAACTGACATTTAAACTCTTATAAATCCGGACTTTGAAGGTGTATGATGTTGCGACTTCATAGGTTTTGTAGGGTGAGGTTTGCCCAATCAGAATATGTCTTAGCTGTACCGATCCATTGAAACATCGCCGAGATAAAGGCTCTTAAAAAAGCGGGTAAAAAAGTTTTAAGTAAGCGGTTAAGTTTTTCAGCTCATAACTTCTTCAGAATTGCATAATTCATGTTGCGACTTCATAGGTTGGATTCTCCTCATCAAGAGCTTTCAGATGCTATATAATTTGTGGGGGATTCAATGTTTCTTGCGGCTCTAACCCGGGGTGGAGTACTCCTCTTCACTGATTCTCCACTCCGCCCATTTCAATGTATTGGCGGGAGGCCGCCAGTGGAGAAATAGTGAAGCGAGGTACTCCACCCCCGGGCATATGTCGTGAGAGGCGTGAATCCTCCACATATTATATATCATTTGAAAGCTCTTGATGAGGAGAATCCAACCTATGAAGTCGCAACATGAATTATGCAATTCTAAAGAAGTTATGAGCTGAAAAACGGTTTTTTATTCGCTTTTTCAAGAGCCTGGATCTCGGCGATGTTTCAATGGATCGGTACAGCTAAGACATATTCTGATAGGGCAGACCTCACCCTACAAAACCTATGAAGTCGTAACATCACACACCTTCAAAGTCCGGATTTATAAGAGTTTAAATGTCAGTCATTAAGCAACCTAAAATTGAGAAGATTTTTAAGGTTTTTCAAAATTCTCGTTCTCGGCGGCCACTCCTCATATCAAACTGATTCTTTCACTGTCTGGTAAAACAACACTTACCCTTCAAAACCTATGAAGTCGCAACCGCGGAGGTCTTCAGCCAGCAGATTTGTAACAGTGGAATGATTTTTCACGATTTTTCATTATTTTATCATTCGACATTCTGGTTCTCGGCTTACTGCCTGGATCGACCTACCACATATATATATATATGCTCTTAATACTTTCTTTTGCGTTCCTTTTGCTCATTTTCCTTCTTTTAAGCTTCAACAAAAGAATTTTCTCAAACCGAAAAGTGAAGGTGGTCACCCTGTACCAGCTCAAAAGTGAAGGTAGGCGGAGAATCGGCTCCGACTATCGCATCTCTGCCTACTGCCTTTAAAGACTCAGCAAAATATTTGTTTAAGTACCAATTACGTTGCGATGATCTTTATTTTGGCGTATCCTGAGACTTCTTTTTCATATAATTTATGGTTGAACTCAAAATTTGCATGACAGTTTCAAAAGTGCAAAAGATCAGGGTGGAATTCTCACGTAGCCCGCGATATTGCGTAGCGCATCCCTTGCCTCTATACAGGCCCTAACTGGACCTTATGTCATATTATGCTTATTCAGTTTCTAACAATTAGTATTTGTGGCCTTATATGTAAACGTTTCACTCCAAAATTTGACAACTTTCAGCTTACCCTGCCAATGGCCTACAATCCCAATGTAAGGAATGTATTACTGGCGCATGGAGAACATGCCGATCTAGAAGGTTTGCAACCGTATTTCTATGAAATGGGCATTCATCTCTGCAACGCTGTGGATGAAACAGATGCTGTAGCATTAGCGGAATGTCTTCTGAAGACGATGGTGCAGCGAATAGGAGGTGAGTGCATCCCGTATTGAAGGACTTCAGGGGAACATGGGATTTTTTCTAGGAATCGTCTTGAGAGCTATTCATGGCAATGAGGCTCCTAAGAAAATGGATAATTTGGAGAAGAAACTTTACGAGGAAAGCGTGAGGAATAGAGATCGGTTGCTCGACTATTTCAGAACACAGCGACCATCAAGTAGCCGAAAACGTCGCTACGACTTGATACGATGATATAATACTTCTGTGATAATTTATTCCATTTGTGATAACAAACATGCAATGTTCACTTTATCCAACAAAGGCCTCGGACCTTTACCGAATTGAGTCGCTACGCGATATGGCAATCCAGTGGCCGTATTCATCATTGATACCTTGAGGTAAGTTCTACCTCCAGGTACTTTTATCACTCATTATCAGCAAAATTACATTGAGGATTTACCTCAAGGTACTTTTGTGATTACGGGTACTTGTTGATAATGAGTGATAAAACTACATGGAGGTAGAATTTACCTCAAGGTATCAATGATGAATACGGCCACAGGTGTCTTCAAATGCAACACCTGCTGACTGCAAATGCACTGTATGTACAACTTTCGCAGATTAAGAATGTGTTCTTTTCTGCACAAACAGACTGCAATTGAGATAAGTTATGGAAGGCTGGAGTAGTGCCAAAGCCGCGAATAGCATCGCTTGAAGTATAACCGGGACCAGAAAGTATAGCAACTTCGAAATTATGAATATGACTAAATTTTCCAGGACTTGTTAAGTTGTATATCATAGGCACAAACAACAGAACAATATACGCAGTGTTACTTGAAAATACACCTCTCTTTTTCGTACGTATAGATGTGTCCTTCTAAAAATGTATTGTTACCATACTGCTTTATTATACAATATTCTTTCTTCGCTATATCCTGATTTAACTTTGCATTTACTTCATATTCTTGATTTGTCAATAAGAACCATATTTTTGAAGGAACTACTTGTTTCGTTTGAGGTTTTTTCTATAAATTCAAGCAGTGGTCCTTCGCTATCTATTTGTTAGTGGACCTAACTCCCATCCATTTGGTTTAAATGGCTTCATGAAATTCGAGAATGGTGACAAGTGACAAGCCACGCCTAATTCTCTCGGTTATTGATGACCTAATAATCATTTCTCGCGCCAAGCAGATACCCCATTATCATTTCGCAGGTGACATCATTGTTTGAGAAAAACGAAGTTTGCAGGGTCAGCTTCTAAAGTTCGCACGCATAGTTGCTCTTTTTGTTTACCCATGTACGCAGACCACGGCAAGTCAACAAGCTCTCGTAGATGTTTGAGCGTCAGACTTTCGAGACGTGACTATCTGATGGGTGTGCTTACCTTCAAAAATATTGATTGAAGACGGGATTCTACTCTCTTAGAAACACAAGCTTTTATTCCAGCTGTAAATACATTTCATGGTACGAAAAAAATTCTCGGGAACTCTGGCTGACTGGCTAGTTTACCAAACATCCTGATAGCTCGAATCAGTGCTGAGGTGGATGGTGGCGAAAAAGTGGGGATTTCTCAAAAACTTTGACATCAAGAGCAACTTAGTTAGTTACCCAAAATGCAGAAGTTCCCGAGGACTCAAACTTAAGGGAGATTCTCGAGAGCTATGATTTCCATTTGATCAAAATATTGGAGTACCTCTAATTTGAATTTGTTTCACCAGAAACAAGAAAAGTACGAAAGTGAACCTGATTCGAATTTTTACCACTAATGTTAGCAGTTCTTTCTGAGAGTCTTTTGAGAATCAAAACTTTCTGGTAAAGACAGTACATCAAAATAGTCATCTAGCTACAGCAATTCTCTCATTTTGGTTTAAAATTTCTCTGAATCCCCATGGGAAAGCGGTCCGTATAGCAGCCGCAACAGCGAGTTTGCCGTTCGCGCCAGTGGTTGTATTCAAAGTTAGATGTGCATGCGGCCGTGCGAAAGAAATGGGTCGGGGCGGAATGCTCTTCGTCATTCACTGCGAATTATGGATTTTTCAGCACTTTGATAATTTTCACTTTTTCACTTCCACCTGGAAAAGTATAATATAGAAGAAGTAAACGAAGGAAGTTGACACAGGTAGGAGTTGTTGGGTGTTTTGTGAATCTCCTGATAGGGAAGTGTGCCTTCGTTGCTTGACTTCCGCTGGCTGCTCGTTTCTGCTTGAACACGTCAATGCCGTCGTGATTATGTGTTTTTTACGTTGGAATTCATGCTGTATGTGCTTCAGCTGGTGAGGTTTATGGCTAGAAATGAGTCGCAATCGCAGCCTAGCAGCTCAAATGCGAGTCAATCCGTTCAAAATGGTGTGCCGAAGCATGCGAAAATATCCGTGAAGGGTGAGTGCGAGTTGCCTTCCTTCTTTTCTCTCACGATATTAGAATTTTCCAGTTATTTCGGCGAAACTCACTCTAAGTGGGGGATTTTTGAGTAAACCAGCTGATTCGTACGTTGAAGTTAGCGTAGAAGGTACTCAGTCAAGTAAGAAGACGTCTGTCAAGAAGAAGACCAACAGTCCCGAATGGGATGAGTCTCTGTCATTGCCAGTGACGGACGCTTCTGTTCTACTCTTCCGTGTGTATAATCGTGCAAAACTCTTCGATGATCCACTGATTGCTCAGGCCCAGACAAAAATCGCTTCCATACCGAAATTGGATAACGGAGAATGTGAGTATCGATTTTGGTATCTTTTTACTGGACATATGACATAGCCTAACACTCAAAAAGCCAAAGGTGATGTTCTACATCTCGGTCTATCGCATACTGTTGTACGAACATATTGAGATTGCGAAATTACGGATTTTATATTACATTAATGTAATACATTGCTTCTCTCTTACAATGAATTGATAGTGTCTTTTCATCTGTAGAAAGTGTGCAAAGAAGGCATCAATTGCTCAAAGTGAGGCAGTCATCAGCGGGCTGTATGTTTTGAACCGTTGTTTACTCACCTTTTGTCTAAATCGATAGCAGGGGAACATCAGCATGTCAGTGTTTTTCGAACGCTCTACCCGGACTTCATATCTATCTTTTACAACTTTTTAAAGAGGATTATCATGTCATATACCCATAAAATCGTAATTGTGTTGTCTAGAGCAAAGCGTTTCTGGAAGAAGAGCATCTGAAGCCGCAAAAATGACGTAAATTGCATACTTTCATTTGTTTTTGAATGCTAGATAATGACTATTTGCAATCAATATGTAGTGGAAGCTGGCATTAGGGCGATATCCGTTTGTCAGCCGACTAATCCGCTTTTGCAGTTAATCCGACTGCCATATCAATCCAGCTGAACGGGAAGGATAACAATAAAATTGGAACCTTGAAGGTGGCGTTTTCCGGCAGCACCGATCGGAGTAGACGAAGTGAGTTTTTTTCTTTGTGGAAACCGGATGTACATAATGATAAAATTGGTTTAGTTTTTTTGCTGCTTAAAGTGATTTCGAATGTCATTTGTGTCTTTCGAAAACTCGTCGACCCGTTCCTATAATGTATGATTCACAGTCTGCATTGAAAACTCATGTTATCGATCACGGTTCGGTTCGCACTCGATGTTATCACAGCGTGTTTTCCAGGCGCCAATGGTCGCATTGCTGACACCGTGGACGGCGAAGCGTCAACGTCATCAGGTGTGATGGCAAGGCGCACCTCGGTGAAAAGCCGTGACACTTTGACACAACAGCAGCAACAGCAGGTTAGAATCAGTATCGATTTATCCTTGGAAAAATTGGGTTTGACCAACAGGTTTTGTAATTTTCAGCCAGGAGATGAGCGTCTTCCGGATGGCTGGGAAATGCGGTATGATCAATATGGTCGCAAATACTATGTGGATCACACCACGAAAAGTACAACTTGGGAGAGGCCATCCACTCAACCGCTGCCCTCAGGCTGGGAGATGAGGAGGGATCCTCGAGGAAGAGTCAGTTGTTTACTGTTATTACCAGCTTTTTGTTGCCATTTCACTTGTTGGAACCCAGGAAAGGAAAATCACAATTTTGCAGAAACTTTTGTCGAAGTAGTTATCTGGTGCTTATCACGAGGCACCATTTTCCGAATAACGTCGGTGTACGGTGATGAGTCGAAGTTTTTAATTGGCTTCTAATTTTCCCAGACATTTTCGAGCAAAGCTGGGACTTTGACCCATCTTCCGTATACCATTCATAGCCTCAAAAAATGGCGCTGCTGTGCAAAATTTATACTATCTTAACTCAACGTGCCAAAACGCCTCTCTGGGCAAAGTACGAGATCCCGATTTTCGGTTTTTGATTTGATATCCATCGGAAGTAAATGTATTGTGGTTAATACTTCTGATAAATTTCACGTTTAGGTTTACTATGTTGATCACAATACTCGGACTACTACTTGGCAGAGACCCACAGCAGATATGCTTGAAGCACATGAACAGTGGCAGTCCGGTAGAGATCAGGCTATGCATCAGTGGGAACAAAGATTTTTGTTGCAGGTATAGTATAATTTTTGCATCGAAAAGGTTGTAAACCAACTAGATTACCTAAAACTCAGTTTCTTTTGCATTTTACGCGTCACTGCCTCGATTTCTCCTATACATTTGCCCTTTGGATCAGTCTCATAAGGTTTAGGCGAATTCGTTGACGGCTAGCGATGATCCACTTGGACCACTGCCTGATGGCTGGGAAAAACGCGAGGATCCGAAAACAAGACGGATATACTTTGTAAATCATGTCAATCGAACCACGCAGTGGGAGGACCCAAGAACACAGGGGTATGTTTATGTAGCTCGGAACATTTTAAGCGCAGATCAAAGTTTTGAGAGCTGTACAAGTTTATTCGTTGAAGTCACATCAATCGTTGTTACTTGTTTTGGCATAGAAATCAATTGAGTAAAAGTGAAGCGTGGGCCGGTTTTTGGTGTTTGATAGCGCATTGAAAAGACGTCAACATGCTCAACAATAAGTGTCATCATTGTTATGATATGGGGTCTTTTTTCTCCTTTTTAATGGGTTTAAGACCTAGGGCATTTATGGGATAAAGAACTGGTTCGCCTCAAAGAAATGAGGAGGGCCTTATAATTGCTTGACGGTAAGGATTACATAAAGGCGTGGATTTGGAAATACGTTGCGCACGAAGCAAGACAATAAATTTCAGGGATATCTCGTGTGCAGGGAAAATTTTCTTTTGTTTCGATGAGCCTAATCAATTTGCGACCTTTCAAGCAAACTCTTCCATAATTCACAAAAAAATTTTGCGTAAGAATTGCGTTTTCAGGGTATCGGATCAACCTCTTCCTGATGGCTGGGAAATGCGCTTTACTGAGCAAGGTGTACCCTTCTTCATCGATCATTCGACGAAGACCACCACTTATAATGATCCACGTACTGGAAAACCAGTGGGGCCAATGGGTGTCTTTGGCGTCTCAATGTCGTATGAGAGAACATTTAGATGGAAAATAGCCCAGTTCCGCTACTTGTGCCTGGTTCGTTTCGCTCTATATCATTTCTATTCTGCGCTATAATGGGTTATGTTATTTCTGTTCCAGTCAAACAGTGTACCCAATCATGTGAAGATAACAGTGTCACGCACGAATGTATTCGAAGATTCATTCCAAGAAATTATGCGGAAGAATGCGGTAGATTTGCGCCGTAGATTGTATATACAGTTTCGAGGAGAGGAAGGACTCGATTATGGAGGAGTGGCTAGGTATTTTTTCTGTTCTTTGTTGCAGCACTAGTTTTGTGATTTTCAACTAAGTTATTGACTTTTATGGTTTAGGGAGTGGTTTTTCCTGCTTTCGCATGAAGTACTGAATCCGATGTACTGCCTCTTTATGTATGCGGGTAACAGCAACTACAGTCTTCAAATCAATCCTGCTTCATTTGTAAATCCTGATCATCTGAAATATTTCGAATATATTGGAAGATTCATTGCCATGGTAAGTTTGCATCATGTTTGTGAAGAATCTAAAATCCAAAGTACTCTGTGCCGTATCGTTGTGTTTGCGTAGTAGATTGGGCGGAGCATTGCGGACTTGGGACTAGGCAATACTTATGGGATAGTTACCGATTCATTGAGTCCGCAGTGATCCGTACAGTCTACTGGGAGGAGATTATGTTGACTTTTTTGTTGCTATCTTACCGAAATGCAATTTTCAGGCGCTTTTCCACGGAAAGTTTATCTATTCTGGTTTCACAATGCCTTTCTACAAGAAGATGCTCAGCAAGAAAATTGCATTAAAAGATATCGAGCAAGTTGACACTGAGTTCTACAATTCACTCATGTGGATCAAAGACAACAATATTGATGAATGCCAGATGGAACTGTATTTTGTGGCGGATTATGAGCTGCTCGGAGAACTCAAAACGCATGAACTGAAACCCGGTGGAACCGACATCGCTGTGACAGAAGCGAATAAACTCGAGTACATCTCACTACTAGTCGAATGGCGCTTTAACAGAGGTGTAGAGCAGCAGACTAAGGCGTTCTTCACCGGATTCAACTCGGTGTTTCCTCTGGAATGGTTGCAGTACTTTGACGAAAGAGAGCTTGAGCTGCTCTTGTGCGGAATGCAGGACGTTGATGTGGATGACTGGCAGAGAAACACGGTCTATCGGCATTACGCGCCGCAGAGCAAGCAGGTCGTGTGGTTCTGGCAGTGGGTCAGAAATCTGGATCAAGAGAAGCGCGCACGTCTGCTGCAGTTTGTGACGGGCACGTGTCGCGTTCCGGTCGGTGGATTCTCGGAGCTGATGGGCAGCACCGGACCGCAGTTGTTCTGCATCGAGCGAGTCGGCAAGGAGAATTGGCTTCCGAGGTCTCACACCTGCTTCAACCGACTAGATCTGCCCCCGTACAGAAGCTACGAACAGTTGTCCGAGAAGCTGAACATGGCAATCGAAATGACCGAAGGCTTCGGAAACGAATAGAAAGTGATACTGTGATCAAAATCGACTTGTCTGTGATAATTGGCTTGTTTTAGATTCCTAGTTGTGCACATAGATTTCTTTATACTCCGTATCCTTTCAGAAAGTATGATAGAATTCCTTTGGGAAAAGGTTGTGAAAAGGCTAGCGCTACTCTAGTATACAATATTATCGTATTTTCTTACATCTACTTAAAGCTGCATGCCGAGTTATTTCAAGAAAAGAGTTCCTCATGATAGTCAGTTTTGTACACAAGGTTTCTTCACTTGCGCTCTCTGTCACTGGTCACTACAGAGAAAATTACTAATAATCGTTTCATGTGTATAGACAATAAAGAACAATTCTGGCAGATTTGCTGCTCTCTTGTGTTCTTGCGGGCTTTTGCACCGTAAATTACTTCATGTCAATTGTTTGTTTCTTTGTTTGTCTGCGTTTGAGTATGTTTGAACTGGCTATTGATAGTTAGACTTTCAAGGGTTGATTTATCGTAAACATGGTCGCCAAGGCTGAAGTAGAAACGAAAAAGGAAGAGATGGAGAAGGTGAGCTGCAGTTGTTTACGCTCGAGTTTCTAATCCATGAATATTTAGGTAGTCGTCGAAGACGGATCCGATGATTCTGATGATGACGCTCCCGGACTCGATGGTGAACTTACCGAAGAGCAGAAGAAAGTTGCGGAAGCCGCCGGGCTTGGCGATCAGATGGACAAACAAGTAAAACAAAGCCGCTCAGAGAAAAAGGTTTGTAGCTAACGCTATTGTTTCCTCTTCAGTTTGTGAGGATATGAAGAAATAGTATGTTTATTTGGAGCATCCATTTTGCTGCGTGGGTGTAATAATTGCGAAGTATTTATTTATTTATATGCACTCTAGGTGCGCCATTGAAAAAGAACACAGGAACTTAAAGGCAGCGTCGAGGCAAATTTGGGCATATGGGGACCTCACGTGGATAGTAATTTAGGGGCTCTAACTAAGCCACTGCCCAAGCGGCAGCTCAGGGAGTGCTCTAACGGCTGAGATATTCTTCTCGAAACTGGACCCCAGGATCGAATTTGCATGGAGTCATGGCGCAAGGCGTGGGTCATCGCGCGAAGCTGATGGTTTGCGCCATGAATCCATGCGAATACGATCCTGGCGTCCAGTCTGAAGGCGTATATCTCAACCGTTAGTGAGTCACCTGCGCTGCCGCTTGCTGCCGTGCCTTAGCTAAGGCCTCAAAATTACTTTTTACGTAAATCCCCATAGGTCCAGATTTGCCTGGACGCTGCCGTTAAACACAAGTCTAACCAGTCACACGGTACATTTGGGCAATCGGTTCTGACCCTTGTACTATAAGCCGGGAGGTCGTCCCATTTGAACGACCTCTGGTCTGAGACAAGGGAAAACATAGAGAATCTCAGACACCCTTATGCATATCTTGTATGAAGCGGTCACTCTGATTCCCACAAGAATAACAAGATATGGAGCGGATACCGATCAATCTTCATTACTGAGTTGTCACGGCCCGGATCTTCAAGAGGGTTTCAAGTCATTTAGGGCTATATTTTGCCTCAGAAAAAAAAGGATACGCCAAAACCCCTACAAACTATATAGAGCCACTAATTTTGAATTTGAAAATCGCGCTAAAACTCAATGTTCATTTATGAGTTATGACAGGTATACTAGATGCAACTGCTTCCTGGTTTAAATACGATCACACCCTCCAAGTTAAGTGTGCGATCAGCTGTCAAACCCCTATTACAAAATTTTTCACATTTTCTAAAATTTTTCTGCAAATGGTAAAAATGTATGTTGGAAGTTCCTACCGCATCTTACTACTCATTGACAATTTTTTTCCGAAAATCTGCTCAAGAAAAGTTTTCCTTTCAGTTTTTCTAAAAAATAAAAGATTAAGGCACCACGCTACTATTTTCATTTCATTAGCATACGCTCATTATTGCATCGAAAATATTTATGAACACCCTATAGATAGTAGCACACATGTTTGTCAGGTGCTTCATAAACTTGTCTTATTTTAGGCCCGCAAACTGTTTTCGAAGCTTGGCTTGAAACCTGTGACTGGCGTATCCCGTGTCTGCATTCGCAAGTCCAAGAACATCCTCTTCGTTATCAACAAGCCCGACGTATACAAGAGCCCCGGATCCGACACTTACATTGTGTTCGGTGAAGCGAAGATCGAGGACCTTTCGCAGCATCAACAATTGACTGCTATTGATAGAATTAAGCCTAGCGAGGATACTCCAGCTCCACTTGCTACCGTTCAAGAAGACGAGGATGATGGCACTGAGGTAATTATTGTTTCATATCTTTCGCGAAAACCTTAGAGGCACCGTCCGCCCAACCATAGGGTACTGAGGTTTTGAGGGCCCTCCATTATACAACATCAGATTCTCGGAATCCTCAGTTTGGGTGGACGGTGCTTTCAAGTCTTTTGCTTTTGTGCAGCTGGCTTTAGCTTAGTTATTTGGTTCTGACCCTTGCACTATAAGCCGGGAGGTCGTCCCATTTGCACGACCTCTGGTCTGAGACAAGGGAAAACATAGAGAATCTCAGACACCCTTATGCACATATTGTATGAAGCGGTCGTTTTGATTCCCACAAGAATAACGATGTCTTCATTGCTGAATTCACGATAGGAATCTTCAAGAGGGTTTTAAGTCATTAAGGCCGTATTTTGTTTTAGAAAAGAATGGCTTCGCAAGGAAAAACTATCACATTAAGCTATACAGAGCCGCTGATTTTGAATCCTTAATTACGGTGCTTCTAACAAGCTAAAAATCTTCTGAATGTGAATGAACATGTTTTTTTTAGGAGGACGCTACCGGTATTGAGGAGAAGGACATTGAGCTGGTTATGTCCCAGGCCAACACCTCCCGTAACAAAGCGATAAGAGCGTTACGGTCCGCCGACAACGACATTGTGAATGCGATCATGAGCCTGACTATGTAGTAGTTGCCAAGTGATACTCAGTGAAACCTTCTTTGTTCTACTCTTTCTTTCTTTTTTGTTACATGTTGTTGCATGTGCACAATTCACAGTTTATAAATTGTTTTATCGCCACTTTTGAGTTTGTTTTGTGCTTCTGCTCTTATGATCCGAGGACCTGAGTACTTGAATTACTCATTCTTCGATTCATTGTAATTTTAAGAGTGTGGAGATTTGTTCTATTTGATGAAAAGGGTTGAAAAGTCTCATATTTGGATGAAACTAAAAACCCACTATTTTGTCTACCCATCACAGCTTCGAGTGATGTACCTAAGAGCTACGACCTTTATAAAAATAACCTACTTCGTGTGAGCGGATATAACAGTTAAGTGTGCAGGGATTTATGAAAGGTGCTACACATATATAGGTGATTTTGTACTCTGAAAAAAGAAAACTTTATCACTGAGTTGGTCCTTAAATCGTGCACGAAAAAAGTACAAAAAGTTTGTTTCAAAAATGTCTAAAAAACGTATTGATCATATGACATATTTTCATAACATATAAATGCTCAAAATTACTAAAGATGATGTTACATTTTGTTCATAACATATAAGAAATGTACTGCTTTACTATGCCTATCAGAGACTTTTCAAGTATAAAAGTCTAAATGTGGATTAGAAATTTCAAAACCATTGCTAGCATGCATACATCCAATCAGCACAAATTCCTTTATATTCAAAAATACTAATTCATACCACAACCAAAAGTAAAATTGAAGGTTTGTGGCTCCTTCTAACATTTTAACGACAAAACCATTATCATTTTCTATACATGTGCAATCAGAGAGTCTGTCCATAATGGTAAAGAACTACGAATTTTTGGAAATTCTGATGCATACAGGAGGAATGTTGGATTGGAAGCAGTTAGTAGCCGCAGGTTTCTTTTTAAAGGAAATAGAACGGCTGGTGAATTGTGGAAAAATCTTGTCGTCCCAAATCCTACTCGCCATAGCCGCAGGATACGAAGCTATCTTGTTAAGCAGATGTGAGTTTCGAAATCAAAGGGTCGGATAACCTCCGTGGGCAAGTTTTCCGATATGTTCGGGTTATTCCATTTTTCCTCGTTTTACGCTCCAGAAGCTCGCCGATGGATTTTGGTCAAAATGTTGATGCTCCTGAATTGTAAGGAAACTTCGCTTATAGAGGTTTTCAAACACGCTTTTTACGAAAATCGTGGTCTTTGAGTATCATAGGGTCTTTTTGGAGAGATACGGTGAGGTGACTGTAACTGCACCACGAAAGCGCGTAACTTTGCCCGCTCTTCTCGCGTATCTGTTAGAAAACTTGCCTGCTTGATTCTCTAAGTCAAAGTTACTAGGAACTGTGCTATCGATGGTGCATTACTCAGGCTCCAGTCTGTGAAATTCGCCGAGTTACGAGCCTATGAAAACACGTCCTCATGAATTTTGCCCAAAATGTAAAGATCGCATATCGTCTGCTCCCCAGAGAGGTTTCTATGTGAACCAGCGTGCGTACGTGGTGCGACGCTGCCTTTTGCTTTTTTGACACGTTTCACCCGAAATTTCAGCGGAACTGCCAGAGGTTAACACGTTCAAAAGAGCGAAAGGCAGCGAGATGAGTGGTACCTATGGGAATCTTGCTGGGGAACAAACGGTATCTTGTCGAAATTCCTCCGTGAGCGCTTGTACGACGCTCGTTGCAGATATTATGTTCGCTTCGTCGAATGACTCTCACTCAAGGCCCGGCACAGATCGTCTGGAAGCAGGCTGGACTTCGTTTTTGAAGCAAAAAGCAAAGGGGATTTCGTATTCGACGAGTCGCGGCCGTAGCACACAGAATAAGCGCCATTCAGTCGAACACAAGCTTTTCAGACAGGTTATCACACGATTGACATGCTCTATCATGTATGGCGAAAAGTGCGCGCGATTTAAAAGCAAGGCTTAAATAAACAAATTGCTTGTTTACAGCGCACACAGAAGCATATGACACCAAAATTGAACTGTATGTATAGAAAATTATTTGCGAAAGTAATATGTGAAAAGATTTGAAAACTTATGTGAAGTAATACCTTTTCCAAAATTAGTTCGTCTCGAAACGGCCACCAAACGATATGAGATCGTTTGGAGCATATAGTTTCACCATCAAATAAGTTTCGGGTCTTTTTAGCATGGACGAATTCCCCAGTCAAAAATCTGTCCCTGAGCACGAAGACATTTTCATATCATTCTTTTCCTTTGTTTTTTGCCTTCATTTCTTCTCGCTCTGTTAAATTTCGCGCTCTAATGCCAAAGTCTTGTGCATGCGTAGTATTCAGCTCCAATTTGGATTTTCACTCTATTTTACTTTTTTTCTTTCAGAGTAGTAAATCTTTCTTGTTTTCATCTTCTCCTAAGCAGGCAGGTCAAAGGGGACTTCGTAAATTCCGAAAGTCAGGGGAGACTTCGTTTTCAGAAATCCTAGAAACCGACTCGTGCCGCGCCCTGCTCCCACTGTACTGAATATGGTGCTTGCGTCTGCTTCAGCTGCTCAATTGAATATCAAAGCTATTTCGTGGCTAGAGCTCAAAGCACCAAATCTAACACAACAAGATCCATTGAAAATGTGGAAGGATTTGATCAGCGCGTTGTACAAGCGCTCACGGAGAAATTTCGACGAGATATGCGATCTTTACATTTTGGGCAAAATTCATGAGGACGTGTTTTCGTAGGCTCGTAACTTGGCGAATTTCGCAGACTGGAGCCTGAGTAATGCACCATCGATAGCACAGTTCCTAGTAACTTTGACTTAGAGAATCAAGCAGGCAAGTTTTCTAACAGATACGCGAGAAGTGCGGGCAAAGTTACGCGCTTTCGTGGTGCAGTTACAGTCACCTCACCGTATCTCTCCAAAAAGACCCTATGATACTCAAAGACCACGATTTTCGTAAAAAGCGTGTTTGAAAACCTCTATAAGCGAAGTTTCCTTACAATTCAGGAGCATCAACATTTTGACCAAAATCCATCGGCGAGCTTCTGGAGCGTAAAACGAGGAAAAATGGAATAACCCGAACATATCGGAAAACTTGCCCACGGAGGTTATCCGACCCTTTGATTTCGAAACTCACATCTGCTTAACAAGATAGCTTCGTATCCTGCGGCTATGGCGAGTAGGATTTGGGACGACAAGATTTTTCCACAATTCACCAGCCGTTCTATTTCCTTTGAAAAGAAACCTGCGGCTACTATCTAACACATCATGATCTACAGAAAAAGTGTTATCGAAAGATCCTTGCTGAAATGTACTCGGGACAATGCTCGCTGCTTTACACCTTCGCCAAAAGACGTCCTCAGAAAGGTTCAAGAATACTGAAATCGAAATATCAAGGGCATGCTGTATATGGAAAGATTCGCCTTGATGAGCTGAGCAAGGCGCTGCTTTCGGATTCAAAATATACTTATTCCGAAGGAAGTTATGGCGAGTAGAATTTAAAAACGCGTGATTTTTCCAAAATTCACCAACGCTTCTATGTCCTTTGGAAAGAAGTCTGAGCCTATTTCTTAGCGCACAATAATCTACAAGAACAGTATTATCGAATAGTACTCAGTAAAGTCTTCTATGTTGGGTAGGCGTTGCTTCACATGTTCGCGAAAGGACCTCCGCAGAACAAATTGAAAAAAATGAAAACGGAATAGCGAAGACATCGTACCCCCACTTCTTATATATCAAAAGATTCTCCGCGCCGAGCTGAATCGAATGGTGGCTTTGGATTCAGAATTCGTCCACTCTGAAGCGAGATATGGCCACGCGACATGTATGGACATGTACGGACATGTACGGACATGTACGGACATGTCCATACATGTATGGACATGTCCGTACATGTCCATACATGTCCATACATTCGCGTCTATTTTTCAAAAAATGTGAGCGGTATTGTAAGCAGTGCCGTTGTATATCCTCAGTTCAATTTCACATCGTTTTCATCGAGTTTTCAGGAAGATAAATAACTTTTAAAATGAGAGGTGTTATCCCCAGGGGATAACACAAAATAGTGAAAATCTAGTCTAGTATGGAAGTAACCTGGCGTCCATTATGCGCATGTATGAGGGTTTGAGAACCTTCAGCCAGACAGAAAAACTATTCATAAAGATAAATATTCAAAAAGGTATTCAGACTAGCGAGCTCTCCACGCGGGTATGCACGCGCATACGGGCCTAAGTTTAGACAATTGTATGAAACCTTAAAAAATAAAGGTTTTAAACGAAGTTTATGGCGAATACAGTCTTTGTCGTCATTCCAGACCAAATTCTTTCCAAGAAACGGAGTAGAACAGAAACATGATAGGAGAATCTCACATGGTGAGAACCCAAGTCAGCCTGATCGATCTGGATGAGGGGTATATCACCCGTGTTATATTACCGTGTCAAGGTGTTTCCTTCCGGGGTTAAGGCGCCTTTCAACATGCCCCTTGTCCATGAGCAATACCGCGAAATCTTAAATAGAGAAAGAGGGCGGCGGTTGCCAGGTCCCCGAAAAATTCTTTGAAAAGCTAGTTTGAATTTTTGAAACTCGCTTGCACATTCTTACAACCCATGTAACGATTTCAAATTTTAGATCCCTCAGCGCGCACTTCCCCCCCCCCCCCCCCTCGATCAACCATTGTTGAATAGGTATCTGTCAAGGATTGCATCTGAGCCAGAGAGCATGAAATTTTCTAATTTGTATTGCTCAACATGGCTGCTCTCCTTCACTCAAAGTTATGTTCCGGGAAGCTTATAGAACGAAGAATGTCAGTTTGAATACACTACCATTCAGTCACCCGTTTGAAAGAGTGTATTGAGTCGATGAAAAATATTTGATTCGCTTACATTGGCATTCGTGACTGTAATAATCATTAGCAACTGGCGAGTGTAGCTAACTCCACCCTCCACCGCTCGATAGTGTCCGAATGTGAATGAGTCCGAATACGCAGTTCTGAAAAATTGTGGATTTTTGGCGTCAGAACTCTATGGTGCGAGGATGTTTATGCATGCGGCCCAGACTGCCGTACATTATGCAGCAAACCAGGGGTAGAGCAGTGTAAAACTATTTCCATGAATTGGGTAGGTGGACGACAAGGATACTGAAAATCTGGGGCTGTGTTCAGGAATCCCTGATCGCTGGTAGGGCGCTGCTACGCCGAAACGAGCGCTCGATCGGGCGATTGGCGCTAGTTCATAATAGGAAACAACACACAATGACAGATCGAAAGAAGGTATCACCCTTGGAGATAAAGTACCAATGCGCAATCTATCTCTTATAATCATCTGAGCGGGTCCCCAAGAGATCTGACTGCAAAAGTCGTGAATTTATGGCATTTGGTCAATAAAAAATTAATACGAAGTGGCAAATAAGTAAATAATCACGATGTTTTCAGCTTCAGTACGATTGAAAACCAGTTGCGTGTCGATATTGAGAGATTCTGATGCAGCGTGCAATCTCATTCTTTTTTCTTTTTCCTTTCTTTTTCATCATTACAGACAAGACTGAATTGTATGGTCAAGTATTTACTTTTCTCGGGTGTGAAACAGAATTTCATTGAATCAAAAATTCATTCACACCGAATATAAGCATGATAAAGATTGTACAATTACTATGTTAATTTTCTTTTCAAAATACAGAGTGGAAGGAAACAATCGCGCTCAAGTGAAAAAAAGGAAAATACCTCTCCGTGGAGAACGGTGTCCGCAAAATGGTGCGAATGATGCAAGAATTGACGTTCGATAGATCAAGCAGCGACATGGGGCACTGGGAAATTTTCAAGAAAAAAATCCTGCTTCTGCGCAAGCTGGCCACAATCATCATCCTCAAACCAAAACTTTAGTGTTTTTGTGGTTGCCGATACCCTCTGTATGCAGTTTCCTGACAATGTCAAACTCATAAGTTTAAAAAAAAATCCAAATAATTTGGTTTTCTCAAATAAGGCGCAAGTAGATATTCGATAAAGCAAAGAGAGCCCTATAATATGGTTTCCAAACGTTCGCACAAAGGTTAATGCAAGTACTTGGAGTTGGAAGACAGCAACAGAACTTTTCGCTCAAAGAATCAGACCCTCTTCAGATTTGACCTACGCATTCTTCTCCAGCTTACTCATAAATGTGCCCTCCACATCAAACATCCGTATATGGTAGTTGCTTTTTTTCATGGCCAGTAAGCGAGAAAACGAAAATCGCCAGGCTTCTGTCAAATGAAGTTGGGCTGCCCTACGGTGATTCTTTTGAATAACGATCTTTGGAAATAGGACCGTAGTTTTCAGCCTTGAACGAGCATTGAATTTCTACAAATATCATTAGCATAAAAAGCAAAAAGAAGTCATTTTTGTAATCATGGTTTAAACTTCTTCTCGATGCCTAGCGACGGAAAAAATACAAGAGCTGATATTGTAGAATCTAACTGCAACTTTCGAGAGACAAAAGATGTTAATATGTCTTGTAGAATCTAACTTCAACTTACGAGAGAAGCAACTGGCAACACATTCTTTAGAAATTAACATTAGCAATCAAAAAAGGCCCATACGAGACAATGGTATCTAGCAGTGAAACTGGCGAGAAAGGCGTGAGAAAGGAAGTCAATAGATCAAACAGAAAACAGGAGGATGCCTTGGAAAAGGTCCAATGTTGACTTTCTGAAGAATTGCGTTCGATGTATACTTCAATGTGGTCATCACTTCAAATTCAAGTTCAAAACTTTCTGTGACCGAAATATGATTATGGCGGACTAATCTTCTTAAATCACATCATTGACATCGACACTTCGACAGGGTAGAAGGGTAGAAGGGCAACTGCAAATGATGTGGTTGTCAAACTGCTTCACCAATATATAGCTTGTGCCACCTAACAAATAGAATGATTTATTTCCACTAAGGTTTCGACGGACTGCGGCCAGCTTTGGCTCCGAATTATTGCAGGATCTAACTTGCACTTCATCAGAACCAAAGTGGAGTTTTGTTTTTCTAAAATTGTAGCAGGATCATGAAAAACACAAGAAGCTCCGCGTTAGTGCGCGAATAGAAAACCAGTGAAATTGCCACATTAATGCACTTTCTGAAAACTGAAGCGTCGTTCAGTTAGCGCTACAAATAACACTTCCTCCTCCTGGCAAAATAGAACTACCGAATAATTCAAAACATCGCAAAATATCCATTTTGGGGTTGATCGCACACTACAATGAGTTTATTACACAATCCTACATCTTCAAACAAATTCATCCCCATTTTTATTCGATACACTGATGTGCTCCCTAGAATTGTAAATTGAAATAAAAGCAAAATCAGCCTTTCTATGCAGTAGTTCCTCCAAAGGAAATTATTTAGAGGCAGAGTCCAGGCTAAACCTAACCCCCTCCGATTAGTGCCAATCCTGAATGTAGGCCCTAGGAGAGGAGCCTCTGCGTTGGTCAGGTCCTTTGTCCCGAATGGAGATAATGGGCCTGAAACGGTCAAGGTGCTATCAAGCCCCGCCCAAATTCTGTCAAGCTCCGCCCACCCATGTACTGAAAGCCGTCCGGCTCTCAAATCGGGTTCTTTGGGAGTTGCTGAGATCATAACCGTAATCAAGGCCACGGAAAAGCCTCAGATCAGCAAAAACATGGGAGGCGAGTTTTTGAGTGGACTCTGCCTTTGAAAAACATGTACAGGAGGAAGGGTCAAATATGATATGGTCAACATAGAGCACCTTTGAGTTTTATACTGATCTTAAATTTTGTAAAATTGCTTCTATAAAAGCGATGGCAGCTGTTGATCCTTTCCCTCTTTGAGTCGTAAAGGACTGATTAGCACCAGAAGCGAATTGTCTTTCAACGCCTACATCCTTCTTGGAAGCTTTTTCGTCCAGATTTAGAATCAGCCTGATCTAAATTGATATACTTCGTCTTATGAAGTGTTTTGGACTTCAGCCACCGACACGACCGACAACACTACGTACACCCTGCTGTTTCCTGCGTTACTAGCAGTCTTACTCTATGAGCTGAAATGCTTCAAAAAGGTGCATTGGCCTCTATTGTCTTCGATTCTTCTGTAACGTTGTCTCTTTACTCTCGCACTAAAGAACAATCTCATTTTTCTCGTTCATACTGATGGCCTTTTTTTTAGTAGACAGCGAAACCATTTCCTGTGTGACGACTTCTCTGCACATCAGTGCAAACCAACATTTCTATGACATTCTTCGTCATATGTCAAGAGTTAAGTCATCGTTTATTTTATGTTTCGTTAACCTTGAACATAAGATACCTAGCAAAAGAAAAGATACGGCAGGGACATTTAAGCACTCGCATACAAAATGTTGAATCCTTAAATACAATGAGTATATCGATAAGATGATCTCCAATGAACTGTCGACGCCACTATCATCGCATTGACAACACAGCGAGTGACGCAGTCTGAAATCACAAAACGTAGAGTTTGTTACAGACGTATCTAGCAGCTTTTACCATACAGTACGGTAAAAGGCTGCTTGACTGATGGTCAGCTGTACTCATAAAGTTTAGTAACTTGCATTTCTTAAAGGAAGTACTAGGACAGATTTGGGATCACCTCAGTATCAACAATTCACTGGAAAGGGCTGACAACACGAACCATAGCCCTGTTGCAAGTGCAAATATTGCTTTTTAAGCGAGAAAATCGCTTTAGAAGTAACATATACGCCCCTCGGTCCTTACCGGAGAGGGATGCCAGGATAGGCCATTGACGCTGTCATTGGCTGCGGTGGCATGTCCTGCCACGATCTCTCGCCCAGGAAGGACCGAAGGGCGTACACAATGAGACCCCAGAAGCTCCCTCTCTCCAAGAGCAGTTGGAGTCGCAACCGGACTATGACATTCATGGACATCACGCCTCAGTAAATCATTAGATTGACTGCCGCCAAATCTGCTCGGACACTGACCCTAAGTTTGCACTATGGTACAGAAAAGACAAATGACCCAGTTGAGTTGAAAAACAAATTGGAAAACTTGAAAACAAATTGAAAAACAATAGTATTTTTAACAACACTCGCACATGCAAAATCAAAAAAAATCTCTTAACTACGCGCCAAACATATTTGACACTCTTATGTATTACCCTACCGTGGTCCATAGGCCGCCGCCTCATAAAAAAAAGGAAGGACCTTTACTAAAAGACGACACATCTTTGTTGACAATGGATGTATTGTGTCTTCCTAGCGAAAACCAAATAAATGTCCCAGCAAAATAAAAATGGAAATAATTGATAAATAAACCATAAGTTGATCTCCAGATTAAATCGGCTCAAAGTGGACAAAATCTGAATCCAAAGATCATTCAACTTAACTCGACGCCCATCATCTTGATATATAAACTGCATATCTGTTACCGTAGATTAACGGCAGCTAGTCAGTTTCAGCAGTGGAGCCGTCAGTGACCAGCACACTGATTAACTCATCTGAGCAAGAATCCAAAAAGATTTGCGGGAGGTTACCCACGCCATTACCCAGACAGGTTTGCATACTAAAAGAGCGCGGCGTCAAGCTGAGTCAAAAGTCCATGATTTCAGAATTGTTCCATTCTGATATGGCAGAGCATATATAGCAGACTGGTCTAACTGCGCCTTTTTCATGAAATATGGGGGTAATGGAGTCCAAGGGACACATACCGTTATGTGATCAAAGGCACCTTGTACTTAAAAATATAGAACTATAAAAGTTCGGTATTAAAGACTGTTAAAAACCAATAAACTCATTCTTTTCACAAAAGTCCATCCACTCGAACGACTTACCATCCGCAGCATCCACCACCTCCAACAGCAGGAGCTGGACCTGCTCCTGGCATACCCATGCCTCCTATGCAAGCTTCTACCGGCAAAATGAGAAGCAGAACAAAGATGAGTACGAAAATCTGGATTGGCTCATAGTGAAGGTGAGAAAGTCGAGGACAAAAAACTACTTACAAGCCACTGTACGGCAATCATTTTTAAGGGAGGAATGGTGTTCGTGAACTTAGCACTACATTAATTCTACTTTTATCTACTCCGTGAAGGTTACTTTTATGACGTAATACTGCTGAAATTGACCTTTGCTGGAGTTTTACAACAACGAGTATTGTGAAGCTCCACCTACGCAGTGGAAAGAATGGATCATCTTATTTTTTAATGGAAAGAAAAACTGGGAAAGATGCAAAGAATGCAAAAATACTATTCATCAACCGAGAAGAAAGTGTAACTGAAAAATATGGATTTTTTTCACGAACCTTGACAAAGCAAGCAAGAAGTTGATCTGTCAGGGAGTGATATGTAATATATGTGGGTACGGCTGAGCTCCAAATTCTTCTTTGTTAGAAAAGATTTTGAGGGCAAGTATTAGGGTGCCAACTAAGTTTTGTAACCAATTCTACTATCTTTTTTGAATATGACAAATTCATTTTTCGACATAATTTAGTATGTGCTGGGGCTACACTGTGCAAAATGAATTACGCATTCTTCCGCAAGCTATTCACAAATTCATTCCACTGGTTCAAAAACCTAGATAAAGCATTTGCAACCTGAATCAAACACATCAAGCCAGAACTTTATACAAATTGTTACTGGAATCCACAACCATTCATACACAGTTTCGCTTTCAAATGTTTGATCCAGGCTGCGACTTCTCTTTTGCTTTTACGCCATTAAAATCTCGGATTTCACTGGCTTTCAGAATGCGTTAGTCTTATTAAAACTTGCTATTGAATATCAAGCATTATGTGCAGATTTTGATCTCACAGCATAAACGAGTGTGCCATAATCAGAGAGAGAAAGATGAGGAGTTTGTTGCAAAACTTAGTTGCCAAACTAGTAATTCTGGGTGGAAGCTCATCACCCAATGATTCTAGGCAAAAGCTCGTCACCCATTTCTTTGTTGTTCGCAGCCCACGAAAAAAAAAAAAGAGGAACGGGCAACAAGATGCACAGTACTCTTCTAAGGACGGCTTCTCCAACTCAGGCAATCGCAAATGAGTTCGGGGGAAAATTGAAGTTCCAAAACTTTCAGCGGGACGCTCCTATTGGAGGCCAGATAGGGCGGGGCCGCCCACACGGCTAATAGGAGCGCCCGCCCCCGAAAGTTTCAGAAGTTCAACTTTTCCCGGAAGCCTTGCGATTGCCTGAGAAAGCGATGACCACGGTAATGGCTAACAGCATTTTTATTTACTTACACAGCACTTGGAGCATAAGCTACATGTCTCGGGGCGTAAATCGCTTGTTGTGCTGAAGAACTTGCCATAGTTTGCAAACCAGTTCCCATGCAAGCCTTCACAGTAAGCTGGGATAGTAGTAAGCAAATCAGAAAGAGAATCTGTAGAAACACCTAAGCACAGTCTCCTGAGTCTTTTGCTTTACAAAATGACCACTTACTGACAAAATTCGAACGATCATCGCCGAAGGTTGGTAGATTTACGGTTTGAACTAATGAGCTATTTTTGGAAGTGATGGCTTTTATTTGCTACGTGGCTAGACGTAGCGGTCATTTCTTATGTGAATTTTAGAGGCATCCGTCATATTTCATATGTCTTTCAAAGATTAGAAAGGAAGAAACTTCAAAAGTCATTGTGCAATGAAACGGATTACGTGAGAATTACTCTGTAGAATGAGAGTCGCTGAGACTTTCAAAAAGCGTGGAATCCTCTAATTAATTTCAAAAATCAGAAACTCAAAGTACACTGCAGAAACCAACTACTCAGTGAAGTCTAATAATTAACCGTTGTCTCCTTTAGTTCGACATCACAAGGGGCTTGCTCATCTTCCTAAGCAGTTCGTAAAATACCCATAAAGCCTATGGTTTTGTTACATAACAGTTCTTGCTTTGAACGGTTCCCGTAACAATCTGCAGAAGCTTTTGGGTGTCCATTGTGTCTATTTTGAATCCTTTTTGCGTACCGCCCTCTGCTGCTCACAGTAAGCTCACAATCATTTCGAATAGCTAATTATGATGTGAGAATATCTCTTGTAACTTGCGATCACACAAAAATAATTAGACTTACGCGTATCATATCCAAAAACGGTTTAGTTCACACACAGACAAGTCAAGAACGTACAATCACTCATGTACATTACGACAAACGAACATATGCTTGCAGCTTTTGTGGTAGCTCCTACGTTGCACACTATCTTACTTTGATTTTTGAATTCTTCGCAGCGGAATAGTTGTATGGTGTGCTTTAAGAACATTGCCTGATGAAATTTTAGTGCTTCCATAGAGAAACGCATCTTACTGACATGATAGGAGGTATCCTAACATATCTTCATAAATACACTCTCTGTAGCAATGTGGAACCGAGTAGGAAACATAGAACGGCCAGAAAGTAAATTAGTACGTCGACCTACGAAGAAACTGCATCTGCCGATGACCGCTCATTGTCTCTTACAGATTGGCTCCCCAAACGCTATCCAGTTCTTGTCTATTTCAGTCTTTTGGAAAAGAACGTAGCAACCCTATCGTAGCTAAACATGGTCCTTCCTTTTATGATCTAGCCTAACCCAACATGAAGCTCTGCTCTGCAATGCTACTAAGTAAGATGAATCAAGCGGAGTCAGTGCTTACTTTATCGCCTGAAACGGCTGAAGCAGGTGTTTGCCTTACATACATATATCCTAAGAGTTAGTAGTTCAACTGGACAGCCATACTCACGTCATTCCAATGAGAACTGAACTTCAAGAAGAGACTAGACATTTCAACCGCAAATGGTTCCAAACTAATGCTCTCTAAATGTGATTAATTTTGGAGTTCACCTTCATAGGAGGATGTACCGTATTCAGCTTTAGGCCCAAGGCATACTCCATGCGATATGAAGTCGCTGCGCGATACTACACGCAACAGCTCTTTATCATTGGGTGCAAAAGCGCTTTGCTGGGGCAAGACTTGATGCGTTTAGGACAATACACAAAAGCTACACACTTATGATGTAAGAATTGCGCATGGTAAATTCGTCAACTCTGGCAAATGTCCAAGTCGCGAAATTCCAGCACTTTGATGATCACTTGAGGTAAGCCTTAGGTCTTAGACAATTAAATGGGCGATGTTCAACGCGGCTTTTTCCGACCAACATAACGCCACACGCTCAGTGTTCCACCTATTCTAAAGAAAGTACCACTTTCGCAAGAGAGTAGTGTGACATACGAGAGGATACAAATCAACTCCTCGTTATCTCAAAATGTCACAACAGCCTCTTTTGCGCAACCTAGAATGTATACAGGGCTTATCAACTGCAGTGTCGTATGTCACCAGCATTTTCCGCTGCCGCGCGGGACTCTGCTGCTCTTCCACGAACATACTTTCTAGTCATGCCCAATCGATTGAGGCTCCGTCTTTCACCCTCTCGCCGTGGGAAAGTGATCACAGAACAGGTTCGCGAAAGAGGCGCAGGGTCCAGGCGAAGCGGCCATGCGGGGTAAATGCTGGTGCACCCGACACTGCAGTTGATAAGCACTGTATGCGCAAAATCTACACTCCACAGACGATTATGCAGTCCACAGTCCCCAGAAGTGCGGAAAGTACATATGAGTGGTAACAAGCATGGCTGCGTGGTCTAGATGTCCGTAAGACCACCTCCTTTCGGTGAGATATAGTCCTCTACCCAACTGAAACATCAATTTAACATAAACTAGCTATATAGAGAAATTTATGACAAAGCTGCATATGCAGTTATTAAAAGAACGCTACATAATGAACCTGAACTACTACTAAAATATTTTCTGATAGCTTTTAACCATGAGTTAATCAGAATCACTACTTGGGGGGCAAGCAAGGCTTATAGTTTTTATACATAGAAGGCTTATAGTTTTTTTACATCGCAGTGGCTGTTTTTATGACAGCCACTGCGATGTATGACAACCAACCTGGAACTCTCCTCCCCCTCTTCCCCTCCTTTCCTCCCCCCCCCCCCCCGCTCCCGAACATAGGAACGCGAGCAATGCCTTATCTTCTTTCTAGTCCCAAAAACTCATCAAGAGACATCCTACAGAGAATTTAGAACGAATCTCGCACTTTGCAACAAAGGTATCAGCGTGATATAAATGCCCTCCATATGGTGGATTAGGTGAGAGAACTGAAAGTAAGAAAAGAAAATAGTCCAGAATGTGTCAGAGGCGTCCTCACAAAGCAGCATTATTGAAACGTTGGCCGTACTCAACACAAGACATACAAGCGTTGTCAACTGCAGAGTCGGGTGCATCAGCATCTCCGCTCCTGCGCGTCCGCCTCGCCTGGATTCTGCACCTCTTTTGCGCAGATGCTCTCTTATCACTTTCCCACCACGAGAGTGGTAAAGGCGGAGCCTCAATTGCTAATCAAGTGTGCGAAAATGGCTAGAGAGCATGTTCGCGAAGAAAGTGCAGAGTCCAGGCGAGGCGGCAACGCGCAGTGGAGATGCTAGTGCACCCGACTCTGCATTTGATAAGCCCTGTATATAAACAATAAGAAAATACCAAAAATACTTCCACTGAACACTTCCGAAAATGATATTACTACTCAAACAGAACGACTTACTACTTTCCACAACATTGCACAGCCGGAGCTGCCGCCGCTGGTGCTGCCGGTGTTTCTGGAGCCGAAGCGCCACCCATGCAAGCTTCTAAGGGCAAACAGAGCAGCAGCAAGCAAACGAGTAGAATAATCTAGAGTAAATGGAGAGAATCTATAGCTATAAGCTTTTGAATAAGTTACGAGCTTCGTGAAAACTCACTAATAGCGTTTGCCTTAGCATCGAGAGCTCTACACTATTGGCAGTACCATTCTAGTGTATTTTCCCCGGCTTTTATTCTCGACTGACGAGAGAATCTGTCACATTTTGACTTTGTGTTCCTGAGTACGCTGATCGCATCAATTTCAGCCTGCAGTCCGCCTGGTGCGACGTCATATTCTCTCAAAATCAAGGCGGCTTTGGGCAAACAGTTCAAGAAACTTCAGTCCTATTCACTTAGTTCACAGACACTTCTGTACCAAAAGCGTGATTTTCATTCTGTTCACAGTTATCGAGAAATGGAGTAGGGCACGAAATTCATTATATTTGTTTGAAACTAGCCTGAACTCAATGTCAAAAACTTTTGGACAATGGCAAAGCGAGTCAAACTTTTTCAACAATCTGGTCTGGCACAAAGAGTCTGCAAACTCATAAAACCTCATAAGAAGATTAGTGGAGGAAAACCAGAAAATTAAATGACTCTTTGTTGCCCTAAGCGGATGAGAATGGATGGAAAAGCAGTGCATTGCAAGTGCCAATATCATTTATCTACAATGGTTTGTGAACGAAAGCATAGAATATAGAAATAAGCTCAACATGTGGTGGAATGCGAGAGGAACCAGGGAGGAGAATATCCTAAGAAGCAGCATAAATAGAAGGCTATAGCAGGTACTGCACACAGCATTGCAACGCCATATACAATACCGCTCACATTTTTTGAAAAAAAGACGCGAATGTATGGACATGTATGGACATGTACGGACATGTCCATACATGTACGGACATGTACGGACATGTACGGACATGTCCGTACATGTATGGACATGTCCGTACATGTCCATACATGTCCATACATTCGCGTCTTTTTTTTCAAAAAATGTGAGCGGTATTGTACAGCAGGTGCTTGCTAGTATTAACCGTCATTCTCATCATTACCAAAGTACCATACCGCTCGTATTTTATGAGAAAGAGAAGCACAGTCGTCCGAATCATTTGACTTCCCGTAGCTTGACCATATCTCGCTTCAGAGTGGACAAATCCTTAATCCAAAACACCGTTCGACTCAGCTCGGCAGTGCGCGTCTTCTGATATATAACTGTTTGGACACAGTAAGGGGCCGGATTTCCATGAATCGCTTCAGATTTTTGCTTATGGTAGTTCACTAATGAGCGCTAAGCACCCTGATTAACTTACCGTAAGCAGAAATTACTGTGTCCAAGTGGGCACTTCTACATGCCAGAAGATGCGCCTCGCCGAACTGATTGTGAGTCGAATGTTGATTTTGAATTAAGGATTCGTCCATTCTGAGGCGAGATATGGCCACGCTACGGTGATCTTGCATGGATCGGGTAACTGTGCGTCGTTTTTTTAGAATACGGGCGGTAATGTAGGTACATTGTAGAACATCAGAATGTTTCTTAAGGTTTCTCGGCGAATATAGGCGAAATGACTAGCTCATTGCTGGATTTTCTCGAAAATAATGGTCCAGTTTGCAGTATTTTGGATTTGTGCTCTTACGTTGAAATACTACAAATGGATCAATCTGATCAAAGCAAGCGCAGATCACTGTTCTAGTAAAAACTTTCTTCCCTGTTTACCAGTATACCAAAAGATGAAAAATGTTCATATGACAAGACTTGGGAAAGAACCGTTTTTGCGTCTTTGCAATGAAAAATAACCAAAAGAACTTTGAGGCAATCTTCCTCATATGCACATATTCCAGTAAGAAACTGAGCTCGGCGATTACTTATTATTATTCTTCCCAGTTGTTTGATTTTGAATTTGTCTAGAGTACAAATGACCCGTTCGCAACGTCATTACATGATGAATGCCATCTCAGTTCTATCTCAGGTAGGCAGAACAAGAATGGATGAGAATGCAAGTATTTCCGTCTGTCAACGCTGTACGGTTTTTCAGAAGCAGAAAATGATCATGTGATGCTGGTCACAGCGGTAGTGAATTTTTGTTTTCATAGCGCAAGAAATTAGGATACTATAGCAATTCGTGATATTGATTGCAAATAAACTTGTAATCGCCTTATATAGTGTGGGGTTCTTCCAAACAAAAGCGTTTCAAAGCCTTCACTCTATTTAAGAACTGCCCAATGAAAGCTCATGGTACCCTTTTGCTGGGCCAAGTTGTTTGTTCTGATTGAAAAGTCTGTTGTAGCTTGTAGAAGTAATTGCTGCGGCCTCAAAACCTAAATTTTGGGGGAGTGTGGATGGGAAGTCCTGCAATTGAGCGGAAGCTATTTTGACTTCGGATACGTTCTGGCTCGAACTTGCTAAAATGAGATATTCTGCTGTGAGGAACGAATGATTTATTGAATTATATAATACATGATGTCCAAAGAAAAATGCTCACACTGTTTGATAGTTGATAACTCTAACTTAGACTCTAACAGAATGGAGCGAATCATAGTTCGTTCTTCGTTACTGTAGGACTACGATAGGAAGTTTTATATACAGATATGTTGTGAATAAGGCGAACAAAATTCTTCGAAAAATCTTAAAAAACTTAGCAAGTTTTTCACGCATGGTTATCTCATTACACAACTTTTTACGAGTTTTTGGGGTTTTTTTTTATTATGTAATCACATTCCTGACCATTGTAAAAACACTTATTATGGTTTACTCCAAGTAAAAGATGCAGTAAGGTGGCCTTTATATCCTAAGTCAGCGACTTTGATTAGCCCAGTGAGAGTTCTTCTTGTATGATTTTCAACCTGAGGGAGAATATGACTCTCAATGGCCTAAGATCTTCACCAAATTTCTACGATCCTACAATAACGAAGAGTGTTGGTGATTCGCTCCATACTTAAATCTAAGCGTTGAAGAAAGCTATAGAATGAAGCCTATAGATCGGCGAAGGACAGTGCGGGATAGATATTAACCTCCTGTGTGCATCCTGATGCTCCTGATGATCCTGCGTGCATATTTTTTCCAGTATATGACAAAACCATTTTCGGCTAACAAAGCTTATTTTCAATGAAGCAAGTTATGAAAACATTTCCTCCAGATTCCACCTCTTTGAATGAATTCTTTGTGATTGCATAGTTACCAACAAAAAACCATGGCATTGCAGACAAAAGACGAATTAGCGCAATGCGAACTCGTTTTAGTTTGAAAGCATGTCCGCATTATGATCGAGAGGTGTATCAGCAGAGCAAGAATCAAAAGCTTAACTGAGCACTATGCTACTTATCAGATGCACTGGGAGTTCCCAGCATTTTTGGAATCTTCAATTATGATGTTTCGTATTCGATGATGACACTTCGATTACCTCTGTTCCTGCAGCCAAGAGTCTGTTGAAATCGGCACAGAGAAGGTTAAATAGAAAAATGCGGAAAACATTATCAAAACGATAAATGCAATTACTAACTTGGTCTGAAGCAAAGAGATGAAAAACTCGAAAGTATTCGGCAGAACCAGCGTATCTGAGAGCCGCAAAAATGAAATTTGCAGCTTAATTGCCTAACGTCCACATATTTTGTGAAAAAATTATGGCTGAACAGCTTAACAAGAGCCTAGTAGTTTACTTCTTTTTACACACTAAAAAGTTGAGAAATGAAAGTTGAAGAAAACCATGATTAGTCCTAAGCTCTGCGTGATACTAAACGGGAATTCTATTCAATCGCTCTATTTTCGTGCTGGTTGATTGGAAGGAAACCTAGGAGAAGGGAGGTAGCATCAATAAAAATTGTTTTCTCATCTTCCATAAAGATCACCTTTTTTCTCCCTACAATACATTTCATAGATTGTTTTAAACCAGATGCCCACTCAAACTTCTGAACGCTCACATTTTGTACACAAGCAAGCATCAACTGGTAACAGGTGATGATAAGTGACTCCCAGATAGATTCTAATCTTAGAAAGAATCAAGCACGTTGCCCAAATATGCTCTGGATATGAGAAGGAGCTCTGCTATTCGATAGACTTCGTTTCAACAAAAGCTTTTCCTGTTCCACTGCATAAAGCGCATCTTAAGAAGTTGTCAAGGTTCGCTGGATATACTAAAATTATGGGAAAAGTACCATAAATCATGTAGCATTATATCTACCAATAAACAGTCATTACATTAGCTTCTACGTCAAAGAAGAGCATTTACTCATTTTTAACTACTCGACATACCCGGCTCAGGCAGGCCTTGTCAATACACCATGATAAAAATCACCACGCCCTAGCCATCTATAAGCCATTACCCCGCCCCCAATATGTTTTCGTAATCAGCATGCTCACTTTCCCCCTGTGCAAACTCCCAGCCCTGTCCTCAAGGTTTGCGAAAAATTGATAAAATCGGTAGGAGGAATGGATTATTCTGAAGGCTAATATTTTATTTGTAATTAGCATGCTAACTTACCCGTCTGTGCAAACTTCCAGTCTTGTCGCTCAAAGTTTGCAAAAAATTGATAAAATCGATATTGATCGATAACGAAAAGAGCCGACGACACCTATCCCGCCCCGAAGTGTATGTGTGCGAAGTTTGGTCTGGATCGGTTCAGAAATAAAAATTTCTATTCGGAACATAAGTACACACAGACATACAGACGCAGACCTACAAACAAACGTTCAGCTTTGCATAATAAGATAGGCCTTAGTCGATCCATAAACCTTCAAAGGAATTACGGATGTCCTAAAATTCCTCAATGTGCGTCTGCAGCAATGACTCACTCATATTACTGTGCTTCGCAAAATCTGCCGCTTTCAAAGTCTTCAAAAGATTTCAATAATTTCGAATCTGGATTCCCAGAAAAAAACTTTGAATTTGAATCGTTTGTTTCCCAAAGCACTTTATCCTAAAATTCAATTCAGCAAGACACTTTCTGCCAAGTCTCTAAGACGCAAAGTCTTTGTGAGACGCTTCAAATAAAACTGCGGCGGTAGCGCATTTTGAGGAGGAAATCCACAGGTGGGCCAGTCTTTCTCACCAGAGCGTAGGTATCCCAATTTCCGGACGGTTTTCAGTGGACTAACGTTGCGGGTTCGTATAGTGCGACTGCCAAACCTCTGCTTTCAAACGGCGCAGAAATCTCAAGACC